CTAGATGGGTTCCAGTTACACGACTGGTGGGTTTCAGTTACACAGCTGGTGGGGTTTCAGTTACACAACTGGTCGGGTTCCTGTTACACAACTGGTCGGGCTCCGGTTACGTAACTGTTCGGGCTATGGGGGTGTCACTTGGGCTTCGGGTTGTGCATAGTCGGGCTTCGGTACATCCATGGTTGTGCTTCAGATGTTGTTTGTTCGGTTTGTTCATGCTAGGTTTGCGGTTACACAACTGGTCGCGGTCCGGTTACACAACTAGTGTGGCTTCGGTTACACAACTGGTCGGGCTCCGGTTAAATAACTGGTCGGGCTCCGGGGGTGTCACTTGGGCTAAGGTTGTGCATAGTCGGGCTTTGCTTCGTACATGGTTGTGCTCCAGAGGTTGGTTGTTTGGTTCATTCATTCTAGGCTTGCGGTTACACAACTGGTCGGGGTCCGGTTACACAACTGCTGTGGCTCCGGTTACACAACTGGTCGGGCTCCGGTTAAATAACTGGTCGGGCTCCGGGGGTGTCACTTGGGCTAAGGTTGTGCATGGTCGGGCTTTGGTTCATACATGGTTGTGCTCCAGAGGTTGCTTGTTCGGTTTGTTCATGCTAGGCTTGCGGTTACACAACTGGTCGGGGTCTGGCTACACAACTGGTCGGGCTCCAGTTACACAACTGGTCGGGCTCCGGTTACAAAACTGGTCGGGCTCCGGGGGTGTCACTTGGGCTTCGGGTTGTGCATGGTCGGGCTTCGGTTCGTGCATGGTTGTGCTTTAGAGGTTTTGTTCGGTTCGTTCTTACTAGGCTTGCAGTTACACAACTGGTCAGGCTCTGGTTACACAACTAGATGGGTTCCAGTTACACGACTGGTGGGTTTCAGTTACACAGCTGGTGGGGTTTCAGTTACACAACTGGTCGGGTTCCTGTTACACAACTGGTCGGGCTCCGGTTACGTAACTGTTCGGGCTATGGGGGTGTCACTTGGGCTTCGGGTTGTGCATAGTCGGGCTTCGGTACATCCATGGTTGTGCTTCAGATGTTGTTTGTTCGGTTTGTTCATGCTAGGTTTGCGGTTACACAACTGGTCGGTGTCCGGTTACACAACTAGTGTGGCTTCGGTTACACAACTGGTCGGGCTCCGGTTAAATAACTGGTCGGGCTCCGGTTAAATAACTGGTCGGGCTCCGGTTACATAACTGGTCGGGCTCCGGGGGTGTCACTTGGGCTAAGGTTGTGCATGGTCGGGCTTTGGTTCATACATGGTTGTGCTCCAGAGGATGGTTGTTTGGTTCGTTCATTCTAGGCTTGCGGTTACACAACTGGTCGGGGTCCGGTTACACAACTGCTGTGGCTCCGGTTACACAACTGGTCGGGCTCCGGTTAAATAACTGGTCGGGCTCCGGGGGTGTCACTTGGGCTAAGGTTGTGCATGGTCGGGCTTTGCTTCGTACATGGTTGTGCTCCAGAGGTTGGTTGTTTGGTTCGTTCATTCTAGGCTTGCGGTTACACAACTGGTCGGGGTCCGGTTACACAACTGCTGTGGCTCCGGTTACACAACTGGTCGGGCTCCGGTTAAATAACTGGTCGGGCTCCGGGGGTGTCACTTGGGCTAAGGTTGTGCATGGTCGGGCTTTGGTTCATACATGGTTGTGCTCCAGAGGTTGTTTGTTCATGCTAGGCTTGCGGTTACACAACTGGTCGGGGTCTAGCTACACAACTGGTCGGGCTCCGGTTACACAACTGGTCGGGCTCCGGTTACAAAACTGGTCGGGCTCCGGGGGTGTCACTTGGGCTTCGGGTTGTGCATGGTCGGGCTTCGGTTCGTGCATGGTTGTGCTTTAGAGGTTTTGTTCGGTTCGTTCTTACTAGGCTTGCAGTTACACAACTGGTCAGGCTCTGGTTACACAACTAGATGGGTTCCAATTACACGACTGGTGGGTTTCAGTTACACAGCTGGTGGGGTTTCAGTTACACAACTGGTCGGGTTTCTGTTACACAACTGGTCGGGTTTCTGTTACACAACTGGTCGGGCTCCGGTTACGTAACTGTTCGGGCTATGGGGGTGTCACTTGGGATTCGGGTTGTGCATAGTCGGGCTTCGGTACATCCATGGTTGTGCTTCAGATGTTGTTTGTTCGGTTTGTTCATGCTAGGTTTGCGGTTACACAACTGGTCGGTGTCCGGTTACACAACTAGTGTGGCTTCGGTTACACAACTGGTCGGGCTCCGGTTAAATAACTGATCGGGCTCCGGTTAAATAACTGGTCGGGCTCCGGTTACATAACTGGTCGGGCTCCGGGGGTGTCACTTGGGCTAAGGTTGTGCATGGTCGGGCTTTGGTTCATACATGGTTGTGCTCCAGAGGTTGGTTGTTTGGTTCGTTCATTCTAGGCTTGCGGTTACACAACTGGTCGGGGTCCGGTTACACAACTGCTGTGGCTCCGGTTACACAACTGGTCGGGCTCCGGTTAAATAACTGGTCGGGCTCCGGGGGTGTCACTTGGGCTAAGGTTGTGCATGGTCGGGCTTTGGTTCATACATGGTTGTGCTCCAGAGGTTGGTTGTTTGGTTCGTTCATTCTAGGCTTGCGGTTACACAACTGGTCGGGGTCCGGTTACACAACTGCTGTGGCTCCGGTTACACAACTGGTCGGGCTCCGGTTAAATAACTGGTCGGGCTCCGGGGGTGTCACTTGGGCTAAGGTTGTGCATGGTCGGGCTTTGGTTCATACATGGTTGTGCTCCAGAGGTTGGTTGTTTGGTTCGCTCATTCTAGGCTTGCGGTTACACAACTGGTCGGGGTCCGGTTACACAACTGCTGTGGCTCCGGTTACACAACTGGTCGGGCTCCGGTTAAATAACTGGTCGGGCTCCGGGGGTGTCACTTGGGCTAAGGTTGTGCATGGTCGGGCTTTGGTTCATTAATGGTTGTGCTCCAGAGGTTGGTTGTTTGGTTCGCTCATTCTAGGCTTGCGGTTACACAACTGGTCGGGGTCCGGTTACACAACTGCTGTGGCTCCGGTTACACAACTGGTCGGGCTCCGGTTAAATAACTGGTCGGGCTCCGGGGGTGTCACTTGGGCTAAGGTTGTGCATGGTCGGGCTTTGGTTCATACATGGTTGTGCTCCAGAGGTTGGTTGTTTGGTTCGTTCATTCTAGGCTTGCGGTTACACAACTGGTCGGGGTCCGGTTACACAACTGCTGTGGCTCCGGTTACACAACTGGTCGGGCTCCGGTTAAATAACTGGTCGGGCTCCGGGGGTGTCACTTGGGCTAAGGTTGTGCATGGTCGGGCTTTGTTTCATACATGGTTGTGCTCCAGAGGTTGGTTGTTTGGTTCGCTCATTCTAGGCTTGCGGTTACACAACTGGTCGGGGTCCGGTTACACAACTGCTGTGGCTCCGGTTACACAACTGGTCGGGCTCCGGTTAAATAACTGGTCGGGCTCCGGGGGTGTCACTTGGGCTAAGGTTGTGCATGGTCGGGCTTTGGTTCATTAATGGTTGTGCTCCAGAGGTTGTTTGTTTGGTTCGTTCATGCTAGGCTTGCGGTTACACAACTGGTAGGGGTCCAGTTACACAACTGGTGGGGCTCCGGTTAAATAACTGGTCAGGCTCCGGTTACATAACTGGTTGGGCTCCGGGGGTGTCATTTGGGCTTCGGGTTGGGCATGGTCGGGCTTGGATTCGTGCATGGTTGTGCTCCAGAGGTTGTTTGTTCGGTTTGTTCATGCTAGGTTTGCGATTACACAACTGGTCGGGGTCCGGTTACACAACTAGTGTGGTTTTGGTTACACAACTGGTCGGGCTCCGGTTAAATTACTGGTCGGGCTCCGGTTAAATAACTGGTCGGGCTCCGGTTACATAACTGGTCGGGCTCCGGTTAAATAACTGGTCGGGCTCCGGTTACATAACTGGTCGGGCTCCGGGGGTGTCACTTGGGCTAAGGGTTGTGCATGGTCGGGCTTCGGTTTATGTATGGTTGTGCTTCAGATGATGTTTGTTCGGTTCGTTCATGCTAGGCTTGCAGTTACACAACTGGTCAGGCTCTGGTTATACAACTGGTTGGGGTCCAGTTACACAACTGGGCGTGGTCTGGTTACACAACTGGTCGGGGTCCGGTTATACAATTGGTCGGGGTCCAGTTACACAATTGGTCGGGATCCAGTTACACAACTGGTGGGGTTTCAGTTACACAGCTGGTGGGGTTTCAGTTACACATCATTTCAGGTTCCTGTTTTACAACTGGTCGGGCTCTCGTTACGTAACTGTTCGGGCTATAGGGGTGTCACTTGAGCTTCGGGTTGTGCATAGTCGGGCTTCGGTTCATCCATGGTTGTGCTTCAGATGTTTGTTCGGTTCGTTCATGCTAGGCTTGCAGTTACACAACTGGTCGCAAAAAGTGCAGTTATGGTCTAGTTGCAAACATTGCAAATAATCCACTTATTTATTGCAGTTGTATTATTTGCACCATCTTGAGTCTATTCGTTATGTATTAATAGACAAAGCCCTCGCTGAAAGATAATAATAAGATATACAACAGTATTAGCAGTGCAATAAGCATGTCAACCCACATTGAATATCTTTATAATAATAATAATAATAATAATAATGTTTATTCAGGTAAAAGTAAATACATTCAGAAAGTTACAAGCAAACAAATATATATATATATATATATATATATATATATATATATATATATATATATATATATATATATATATATATATATATATATATATATATATATATATATATATATATATAATATAAATATAAATATATATAAATATAAATAATAATAATAATAATAATAATAATAATAATGTGTATGTATGTGCAGAAATAATATTAATAAAACAATTAACACCGTGTAGTGTACTCTATATATTAAAATATATTACTTTGAAACCCGTATCAGTCACTAAAAAAATAATTGGGCTACTTTTATTACAAACTCGCTACTTTTTGACCCTCAGCTCGCTACTTTTAGCAGTTAGGACCTAGCAACCCCGACCACAACAACAACAACAGTGGTACTGTCTGAAGAGGCGGCGTTGATTTTAATTTCATTTTGTCCCGAGGGGCGAGTTTATCGGGCAGCACCATTCACAGGACGGGAAATTTATCCAGTTTTTATCATTTTTTGACCACAGGTCGCCTGGGCGTCATCCCCAAATCACGGACAACGTAGGTTAGGTGGTTGTTACGGGTGTCCAATATATTTCTTACAACTTTAGAACTACGAAAAAATGATGAACATTCTGCAGATCTTGAACCCATTGTTGATGTGACGACTTGTATTGAATTTTGTAACTAGCTCATCAAGATTGTAAGTTGCTTAGCTAAATGAATTGTGGGGTTCAGTCCTTGAGCCTATTATGTGCCTCTGTAACCCTTTCCACTACCCCCCACAAGATGGGTATGGGGTGCATAATAAATGAACTAAACTAACTAACTAACATTCTGCAATGGAAATTCTATAATATAGTTTTGTTAAGCTAACTATAGTAATGTAGTAGAGCCATTCAATCCCTATAATCAATATACAGAAGACGACTGTTGCAGATAATTATAATTATACCAAATATAAATATATTGTAATTAGTTTAATGAATTATACACTTGAATGTATAGTATTAAACAACAAAAGATAAAAATAATAGCCTAACACTGATTATTATAATTCAAAACTATATACTGTATAATAGAAGTATCAAGGATTTTATATGGTATTGAATTAAATAGGCTTAAAATAGATATTGTAACAACATTTGTATATGTGAACATCACAAAGACAGGAGACATGACACATAACTGTGTAGTGACAACTCGAAGCTTAAGTGGGTTTTAGAATATCACTTAGCCAAGGGTAGGTCATTGTCACCCATCCAATTACTGACTAGACCTAGTAGTGCTTAACCCAGCTGACTTGGTGATGCATCATCATTTATTTATTTATTTATTTTTATACAAGAAGGTACATGGGTTTGTGAGAATACATAGCATAGTGTTGACCAGACCACACATTAGAAGGTGAAGGGACGACAAAGTTTCGGTCCGTCCTGGACCATTCTCAAGTCGATTCTCACAATCGACTTGAGAATGGTCCAGAACGGACCGAAACGTCGTCGTCCCTTCATCTTCTAGTGTTTGGTCTGGTCAACATACTTTTGCCACGTTATTGTGACTCATTGCCTGTACATAGCATAGTATTTACAATTTTGTAAATGCCAGTTTATTGCACTGTTTATTGCCAGTTTATTGCACTGCACTATAATAATATTGCTACCTTCTGGCCCATGTTCTGATATTTCTATGCTTGATTCAAAACTGTTTCTTTCAGCTGAAATTATTGGATGTTTCTTCTTTGGCTCATTGGCAAGGATGAAACCTGCAAGAAACCACGAGAGAGGTTACGACACAATACGAGCAGCTTTAGCTAAAGTTATTCATCTTCATAATGACTTCCCAGCAGTGTTAAGAGAAGTAAGTCTTTAAATATTTGCTAGACATAGCACTTTTCAAAATAAAAGCTTATCACAATGTCATTTGGGAAGAAACATATTTTTTGATAGCTAAATGTTATTACAGTACCTTGTATATCTGACAATAGATTTTAAAGTATAGTACAGTGCCTGTTTTGTACCTCATGTGTAGAATAAAAATAATAGTAATAATAATAATAATAATTGTTGTGTTGGGGACAAGTCAAGCTGTTCTCTTGCAAAGAACGTTGCTTTTTGCTCATATGAGTTACATCAGGCTAAAAATTGATGTACTAGAAAATATAAGCGACATACTGTCTAGTTTGCTGTTTTGGGTCTTCTGATAGGTTAGGAGAGAACACTTTTATGGGATGGGCTGGATAGGCAGCCAGTGTATATATACATGTTAGGCTTATATTGAGGCGCCTCCCCCACTAAGAGCAAACTGTTGACCCTCCCCCAAGAATGCAGCCCCACAAGAAGCTGACTCCTGGGGGACCTACTTACTGCTAAGTATCTATTCACTGCTTAGTAAATACTGTAGGTATTTACTGCTAGCTATGAAGCCGTTTTTCAAATAAGGAATAATATAGGCCTTAACTTTTCCACATATGAGGTTCAGTAGTTAAATTCCAATAATTTTCCATGTGTATCCATATCATGGAAAGTGCTCTGATAAAACAATATCATGTTATATGATTTGGATGTATGAAAGAAATGCAGAAACATTTATGGTATGTCGTACTGTATGTATCTCGGGGATGACCAGAACCTGGGGAGGGTTTCGGGAGTTCATTTACTCCCCATGCCCGGTCTCGACTTGTGATAACTTGGTCCAACAGGCTGTTACTTGGAGCTGCCTGCAGGCCCACATATCCACTACAGCCTGGTTGGTCCAGCACTTCTAGCAAGAACTTATCCAAGTGCCCTTTGAATACATCCACCTTCATTTCGGCAATATTTATAATGCTTGCTGGGAGGGTGTTGAATAGCCGTGGACCCCTGATATTAAGGCAGTGTTCTCTGATTGTGCTGATGGCACCTCTACCCCCTCACGAGTTCTGTTCTACATTTTCTTTCGTATCTTTTGCTCCAGTATGTTGTTATTCTATGGTGCAAATTTGGGACTTGGCCCATCAGTATCTTCCATGTACGGTATATATTATTTGACACTTTTCTCATCTTCTTTGCAGAGAGTACATTTTGAGAGCTTTGAGACAGTCCCAATAATTTAGATGTTTTATTGTTTCTTTGTAAAATTTTATCAGTAAATATGTATATTATAGTACATGAAACCACTTGCATATTTAATAATCATTAGAGGCTAGTAGAATACCGTAATTGTAGAGGATGCAACCCCACAATAAGCTGACTAACTCATGAACTCCTGGGTATTTCCTTAACTTACTGTTAAGGTTAACAGGAGGGGATTAGGTAATAGGAAATGTGCCCAACCACTTCTGTCTTGCCTGGAATTCTCAAATGTGAGTTGAGATAGAACCCGAATATGTTTTACAAATTTACTCTCATTCTTTTCCAGCATGTTTAAGTAGTTGATAGTGGAAAAGACAGGCATGTGACATAATTTATCTTTAATTTAGCAAAATCCTTGAAACTGTACTTTATTAAGGTCTGATTAGGAATGTAGAGATGGAGGGCATTATTTCCCATTGTATGGGAAACGATTGTTTCCTATACAATGGGAATAATAAACCAAATAATTGTTTCCCATTGTTTGGTTTATTAAGATTCCCTCTAGGCAGTAGCTGGCCTTTTTCCTGGCTGCAATCCACAATCGTTGACTAACTCCCAGTCACTCCCAGAGCATAAAACAATTGATATATCAAAGCTTCTTAAATGCTGTACTTATTTTAAATATTTGCACAATTTATTATATTTCAGAATGAAGATGGAAATTTTAAGACCAAGATGATAATAAGCGCAAGCAAGCGCATGGAGGCAAACAAGGCAGATATGGTAAAAATAGGTGAAAAGGAATCTAAAAAGATTTGCAGCTCCAAACAATCAACAGACAAACTATTCAACAAAAATGGAACAGATCTTGATGTTCAAGTTGAAACTTCTGAGGTTAGTTGTCGTTTATGTGCTAGCATACAATTATAAATATAGGTACCTTGCATAGAATGAGGTCATTAGCTCAAGAAACTCTAAAACTCCTACAATATTGGATAAAACTACCCGTCTTCATGCTACTAGAGGCAAAGTGCTTGTCAGCTAAATTAATCCCTGCACTGCACACCTGTTTCATGTAACAACTCCATGGTGCTGGGATTAATGAATTATTAACAATTGAAAGTTGTTAAAAATGTGAAAAATGTCAACATACAGTATTGGCAGACTGAATTATTTCCATTTTAAATTACAAAGAGTGAAAAAAAACATTAAATAACATTAAGATACAGTATTGCTAAATTCAATAAATTTTTGCACCACTTGTTGAGTCTTGAAGGCGCTATGCACTCCGTAGGGGTTAAAGTGGGAAATGGGATAATGGGGATGCTGAAGGAGTTTCCTATGAAATTATAATAAGTATTTCTTTTCCAGAAATTTTGCATTTAATACAGATCAGTAAAGTATTACACGTACAGTATTATCCAACTACATACTTTACTTAAAAAATGTGAATATTTACTGTACTCTATATATATATATTTTATTTTAACAGGGCATTAGTAGCATAACAAAAGAAGTTATCCTTGAACAAATTGAAGAAGAGGCAGAATCACTTGGTGTTGAGGTGTCTGTCGCAGCCAAAAGTCTAGTTCTGGCTCAGGTCAAATTGCTCGCTCGTCTCGTCCAGGAGGGACAGGACTATACAAGGTAAATTGATTCAAAGTGAAGAGCTTGGTATCAAATTAATTTAAAGACGTACTTGTGAATTATTTAAACTAGTTAAACTAAAATTCTGGTGTTGTCCCCTCAATAGCTTCCCAGAGCTGATTACACTAGCTTAGAAGTATTCTGCAAATGCCATGTTCCCATCACATCTCTCTCTACCCACAGGGGACAAGCATCTGTTCAAAGCATCTTGCCCCCTATACTGGGTGAGGAACATTTGTGAGGATCAATGAGTGATATAGACAAGTTAGGAAGGGAAAGGCAAGGTGAGAATTGGAACCTACTGGAGGCTTACTTGAGGGTATTTTAATACACCCTAAAAATAAAGGTTCTCTCCTAATTAGCAGAATTAGCAGAAAGAAATAATTGGTTTGCCTTATGATTCCAATGATCACTTACAGTGGGTGCTAGGTAGTTATTCTGTTTTCTTACAGCGAGTGCAGTATTAAATTCGACTCTCCATGGTCTCCTTATCCTAACTAAGTGGCAAGACCATTTGCAAGAAAACCTGCTACGATTGGCCTAGGTCAACTAGAGCCAGGTAGGGGAACTATGTCTTGGTGAGCCACAGAGCTCTGGCTTGAGGAGCAGCCAACAAGCAACTCCAGTCCAAACACCTCGCTTGTCCCTCACACACCCTGTGTACCTTAATACCGCAACATTGAGATGCCTTTCTTGTTTCAGTCTCTTTACATTCTCGCTTCTATGTCTTCCTTTACTTCATTACAGGATACATCCTAAGAAATATAACTTTAATGTTTCCTCACCGCAGTAAGTGGTAGATTTATTTATTTTCTTATAATTGTATATTACATTATATTTCATAATATTGTATTTACTGTACTGTATTAATAAAAACTTTTAAGTGGTAAAGGAACTTTGGCAAAAATTTATGCTGTTTAATTACAGTATAGTTTTGCTTTCATTAAAGCTATTTAAATAGGAAGAGATTTCATACTAAGTGACCACAGTAGGAATTAGTTCCTAAGTAATGTAGATTATTATAGATGTAAATTTATTTTATCTATTTAGTACATCAGTAAGTTAGCCACTCAGGTTCATAAAATAATTGTTTAAATGTGTTTTATATGAAATGGCAACTAATAATAAAGGAGTTTTAATATATAAAATACTGCACATATAAATGGTAAATTATAAAGTTATTCTTTTATGACTTTTATTTTAATCAGCGACCTGGAGGGACTCATCACAACCACAAGTTTTATGGTGGCAAGAAAAATATTGACTACAACAGACATTGGAGAACAACTGCTCAAAGAGACTGCATTTCTGAGCCTCCCTCTCACATCCCTCTGGAGGTTTACCAGTATTGGAGTTGTGTCTTTTGAGCAGATCATTCAGTGGTATGTGAATATTAACCAGCTTTTATATAATTTTGTTTTCTTCCCAGTTGCAAATTTATGTTGTGGTTAATGAATATTGAAGAAAAACATGTCTACTTTTTGCATTTGAATCTAGTACAGAAATAAGAATGTTATAAATATTATCATTATTACCCCCATTTTCTATATTCTTGGTGTTAAGAGGCATCAACCTGGAGAGTGAGAAAAAAAATGATCACCACCCTCATCATATTATACACACCACCCTCAGAGAAAAGAAGCTTCTTTTTCCCCTGTAGCAAATTATCCACTACAACTCCCCACTGCTTCATAAGACTACGGATACAGTGGTTCTTATGAGTTGTTGTATTTGAGACTACCAAATGCACTCACTCCTCACAAGCTGCTGGTACCTACTCTTGTCAAATGTATACCATATGCTGTATACGTTTCATAGTCTTTATCTCCTAACATGTTGAATTGCTATATACACCAGTCTTCCTCTCATCATATCTTCATAATGAATAAAATAAACTCTGTCAGTTTATCAACATCAGTGTGTTCAATGTGCCCAAATCATCTTTGTATACTTTTCTGAATTTTGTGATTTACAATTTTTGTACCTCATATCTTTACATGACATTTTCATTCCTTGCTCTGTTTAGTCTCCTAACCCACATGTACTTCTCTGGTTGTTCAGTTCTACCTCCATAACTCTTGATTTTTCCAGTTAATAAGATGCCATTTTCTTTCATCTATACAGAGGGTAGACACTGCCGCATTTTTGATCTTGCACATATTAATTCAACTTTTAACTGGTCTTCAGAAATCTTTTTCTCTCTGTTAAAAGAACTGTATCACCTACCTGTATTACATGATACTCACACACACACTGTTTACTCATTTCGTACACTTGATTTACACCTTTCTCTCGGCTGATGATAATCTTACCTACACCCGATCTTGATCACTGGCTTTTTTTCTTTTGTTTTCCTAAGTTTATGGTCTTTGCTTTATCTTGAGGAAGTTCACACTCTTTTGGGGCCATGCAAAATCTTCAGATTTGCAAAATCTCAATGTTGACAGGTATGTCAAGTACAGAAAAGGATTCTTTATTTTTTCAAATACATTACTGTAGTTATATCACCTTTTACCAAGGCCTTGATCATGACTTTCTTATCAGGAGAAAGAAAATGCTGTAGTAATGTGATGTGGATCACCTCATTTGTTTTATGAATGTGTGATGTTGATTCCTTTTTTCTCATACAAGTTCTTTGTCACCTTTAAACCTACATAATTATTTAGAATATTTTGAAGGGTAAAATACAAAATGCATCTTGTTTGTTTCAGTAATCGTGAAAGCAAGCACACCCGCTCTTCAATGGTGGATGGACTCCTATTCTTGATTCTCTATGGGAAGAATGAGGATGTGAATATTTCAACAGTTAGTGAGATTCTTGCTGTTGTTATTTGTATTGCTTATGATTCTGCCAAGGATGAACATGCTTCATTAAGCAGATTTGCTAATCAAATACTCAGTGATCTGACATCAAGATTACTTACCCATATCCTAGACAGTGAAACTGAGAAGAGACTGAAGTTGGATGTGCAAACTACGGATGAATTTTCTGAAAAAGATATGGTTGAAGTGATGAATGTATATGAATTGGTGCTAAATAACCTTAGCATAACATCACAAGCCCTAGATCGTTACTGTTCAAGTCAACTAGTACAACTTCTCACTCACCGACCAGAGCTGCAACTTGGTCGCGTACTGAGAGAACAAGACCAGTGGAGATCAACTCAAGCCAATGCCACACTTTCAGCTTGGATGCAGAAGGTATAGAAATTTTGAATTCTGTAAGAGATAAAGTTTGTGTTAGAAACTCAATGTAAATTGATATAATTCTTTTTTTTAATAACAATACAGTATAGGCATGTTGACCGAAAAACATGATTGAACAAATTCCTAAAAAGTAATGGTATGAGTATAGATGATGAGCTCCTTTTTGAGCAAAACCACTCAGTTGCCCCAATAGGCACGGCTCTGTTCTCTCAACAGTATGGACTCACAACAACTAGGCCAGTGCATCTTTCTTTCCACAACACAGCAGGAGTGTTGGTTGCTCCTGGTTGCTGGTCTGATCAACCAGGCTGCAGCCGCGTCTAACAGCCTGGTTGATCAGTCCAGCAACCAGGAGGCCTGGTCGACGACCGGGCCGCGGGGACACTAAGCCCCGGAAGCACCTCAAGGTAAGGAGTCTTTTCAAATGCCCCAACTGGGCTATTACTGGGGAAAGATAACACACTATCCAACCTGAGAATATGCATTTCCTGTGCCAGGTTTCCCATTAAGAATCAGACTGTAAATGGCTACTTCTAATGTCTTACAAAGAATGTTATGACCTCTCAAGACTGCAAACAATGAGTATGAGAGGCAGAATTTAATTATAGTGATTCTTAAAAATACTGTATAAGCATTTGCAGAGGCTAAGAACAATGCACTTATACTGTGATCTGTCTTGTGCTTCAGTGCCTCTGTTATGTGTACAGATCCTCTTCAGCTGTCATTTCTTGTATTTCCATAAGCAAATCTTGAGTAGAGAAATGGGTGGTCTCTCCCTCTCTCAAATCAGCCCTTTGAAACTACATCTGGCTCGGTGAGGGCTCTCTTGATGTAAATTCCAGCTTATGCATCCACCCTGGTTTCATTAGTCTCAGTTAAGTCCGCTTCCTCTAGAGATAAGAACCAATTTTTCTGAGTCTTGCACGGGCCCTGGGAAGGCTTCACCCACAGGATACTTGTCGGTTTGAATTTAGTTCTTAAAAAGCCTAATTGTTCAATGTCCCATACACTGAGTTAAGAACAGTGCTCTTTGCATGCAACAGCATAACTTCCTGGGCACGATTACGTTTGATGTGCCATGATTTGCCATTTGTCTGAGGAGTTTTGCATTACCTTACCAAATACCTTGCATTTAGATATATGTAAACTGTATAACAGAACATTGGCAGTAAGGCATTGTTCCAACATATTGGAGACTGACTGTTGCCCTTCCAGTTCTTAAACCAGAACTTGACATCTTAGCAGTGTCCTGATATCATCTTAGCTATATGCATGTGGAGCAATAAAGGAGGCTGCTCAAAAAGGAGTATTTCAGTTATAATTATTTAAGCAGATAGCTTTTATTTTGCATTATGGTACTTTTAATGTTATTAGGTACAAATATATCTATTAAATTAATTACTGTGCAATAATTAATAATTAAAAATGAAAAATATACATAAACATTCATGTGTGGCACATGAGCTTCTCTGGCTCAACTTGGTGAATGCTTGATGCAAGGACCCAAGGAATGTAATGAAAGTGTTAATTGTACTTGGGTGTTAATCTTTGGTTACCTCTGTATTCTTTCAGTTGGTTGTAGCACTGGGACATGAAAATGCTTTAAACACACTTGACTTGGTGGTTACTAATGATGAGGTTAACTGGGGATGCGTCTTGACACTCGTTGCTACAACCCTCAATTGTCATCGTGCAGCTGCTGCCACTCTTAAAGGTCAGATCTTTAAGTCAATAAATCTTGCTATGTACATTTCCTTCAAGTATATACCATTTCCCTCTCAAGGTGGTAAAGATTGGCCCATGTAATTCTTATTGGTCATGTATTATTTTCTTTAGTGACCATCTCTACTTGCTTTCTATTATTGAGACCTGCTCTTTAGAGCCTGCCATTGATATAATTGTTTATGTATGAAATAGACTCAAATACTTTCTTTATACAAATTAAATTAGAGAACATTGCTTTTCCATTGTTTATTATCATTATTACTCATTTCTCACCTTTATTGTGTGGTGAGGCACTTGGCAGGAGAAAATAGTTGAACAGTATAAGAAAAGGTTAAAAATAAATACTCTATACTTAGTCTCGAAATACAGTACTACTACTATGACCTCTTGAGAGCATTCCATCAGTGCATGGCCATAGAAGTTTCTCCTCGAAGCTCCATCGTCACACACACACACAAACCTTTCACTCTGTCAAGCTCTCCACACTAAACAGTATCATGGAGAACCAGCAGATCATCCACAGTTCTTTGTAATAGAGCATACCTAAATGTTAATTCTTCATTTATACATATATCAAGAAAATACAATGCATTTATTATTGTCTTCAAATGGTTTTCCTCCCTAAAACCCATTAATAACTCTGTTTATTCCATTAGGGATGATAGAGCAAAACATTCGACGTGGGTGTGAGGACCAAGAGATGGAATCACTGGTTATAGGCTTCCTCTTTGCCCGACACGCTAGCCAGGAGGGACGCCACATCTTCCCATCTTACTCTCAATGGTTCAGTGCTGTCTTCGCAACAGAATCAGGAAGTCCTGTAGCAAACAAACAATCTTTTGTTTTCTTGGTTAGTCCATGGTTGCAGTTAAAGAAAGAATCGTATTCACTTAATATCATTGCATTGTTTAGTAGGCAATTGCACAATAATTTTTGTTTATTATTATACATATTTAATGTACCAGTAAGTACAGTAAAAGAAACATTAGTTAAGTTGGGTAGTGCTGGAAATATCACAAAGCTAGTGTGTGCATAATTTTTAAGAGTGTTAAAAGCAAGTCATTTAATCAGTATTGTAAGTTTTTACATAAACTGTAATTTATGTGAAAGTTATATAGTATAGCACACAGTAACTTGCAGTGTCTTACTGCGATCACTTGCTGACGTGCACTGCATTATCTTATATTTTTGTTTGTTGTTGTTTGCACATGCATTTGATTAGGTTTGTGAATTATTAATCGGTATTTAGCAACTTTTTATTTTACTATTCTCAAGACCATTAATTTCTGAACATTTTGATACCAAAATCAATGTTTTAAACATGATTTTGGTATCAAAATAGCAATGCTAACAGAAAGTGAGTATTCATTTCTACATAATACATTGCTTACAGCCATATAAATAACATTAAATTCATCAAGTTTGAAGTTGTAGAGAAGGTTTACGAACATAATTTTCATGTAAGAGTATGCAAATGTTTTTTCCCTTAAAGCTGCTGGAAATTTATATATCATATATATATATACATGAACAAAGCATTCGGTGATCCAGTGAAGGGTCCGAGTATACTGTTTAATTAATCGCCTTAAATAGAGAAACTTTAACACATTTTTCCACAAGCTAATAGCATACAAAATGAGTGAGTACGTGGATAAAATAATTATACACTAATTTTTTTTCAGATACGTTTCTTAACAGACTTGGTGCCCCATGAGCCAGCTTATTGTCTTCGTGCACATCTTACAAATCAGATCTTTACGCCAAAAGGCTGTCAAGAGGTATTTTGAATTTGTATTGCTTTACTACCAGCTAAATTATTATTATTATTGAGAAAATCCATAGGAGCCGTGATGAGGATTTGATCCTATGCGGTGGGTGTTCCCACGAACACACCCTAGTCAACAAGGCCACTACATGGTCCCACAACAATGTTGTGCCTAGTTGACTAGGGCGTGTGCATGGGAACAGCCACCGCATAGGTTAGACTCATCACGGGTTCCTATGGATTTTCTCATTCATATATCACGTTAATGTGATTACTCTGTGTATTATTATTGTTATTATTAACACACAGATATCACATTAAAATGATAAATATCAATGAGAAAATCCACTAGGACTATAGGTGGGCATGAATCAATGACCATGGTATGCAGCTTGTATGTATGCATGTATGTATGCAGCTTGGCATTGCCAAGCTGCATACGTGCCCTTCCACCCGAATGGAAGCACTCTTGTGCTTGTGGGTCATACATAAAAACTTGAACTGGCTTCAGTAGGGGCCTCCAGACTTCCTGTGATTTCAGTAGAAACCCGGTTGTATGACTTTTACAAGTCAGGGGTGGTCTAGTGGTAAAGTATGCGACTTGTACCTATGGTACCTACAGTATCTTCAAAATTTTGTCTTAATTATTTCTCGGTTTCCTTGTACTAATTGGCACATAGCTTCCACTCAATCGTACAATTTCTGCAGCATCATCTTGTGTTCATTATGTAATTCCCTTTTTAGGTTCTACAAGATTATTGTTACTTGGCCAGAGCCAGACTGCAAGAGCTGAAGGACACGCTAGAACAAGGTGTTGCTGGCCGTCAGTCGTCCACTGCCAAGAGCAAAGTGCGTTTGTATTTTCGTTGTAACAATGTTAAAGTGATCACAATTACTTTCATTTAAGCATATCAATAAAACTCTGATAGCAACAAGTTTCTTAATGATTAACTATTTAGGGATTTTTTCTGAGCTGTAGCAGAGTTGCTCCCAAAGTCAAAATCCTATTGGTCTGCTAGGTAGGTTCTAGAACAGTTAGGCCACGTTGACAGCCTGCACCAGAACGACAGGAATCTTTTCAGACGTGCCTCTTGGCTCATACTGGTGCTAGGGAAACACAAAAGAATACTTGTTCATCTGGGTCATACTAGTGCTAAGGTGACTAAAGAATACTTACTCACGCCTGAAAAGCCTATTGAAGGTTCATTACAATATGCTCACACACCTCTTCCAAATAACACTTGTCAGTATAAGGACAAACCAAGTAGCATTCTTTTCTATACAAAATAAATTGTTTTCAAGAATGTAATAGTTGAATAGAAATATGAATTGTTATTTATTGGTATATACATCTTGAATAATATACTAGAGTTAGCATAGTGCATACTGGGCATAGATACAATGTTATAAATTTATTGCAAATAATGGCAGTACTGTATATGATTTTTATCATTATCATTTTAACTTTGCTCTTAAATTTTCCATATTGATGCTGCTCCAGTCAGCTTATTTATTTGCATAATTATTTATTCTCTAAAACTATTTAAATGGTAGAAATTTAATTTTTATTGTTTTCTGATTTGTCCTAAAATTATTAGTTATGCACATATTTTATTTTTGTTTGCAGGTGGCAGAAGAGGTAGAAGCTGCTGTGAATGGCTTTAGTGAATCTGGTAAAATTCCAAATTTTATTTTAGAAGCATCAATATTTCGCAAGCCACACTTCCGCTCCGCCTTTCTGCCTGCTTTACTAGCACCTAGGTAAACCATTTTATTCCGGAGCATGACTGCCTCAGTTGCTCTCTGAGCTTGGGCCAGGGTCCACCCAGGACACTGCTCACATTCTATGTTCTAGAAAAGACAAATATAATTTTGGGATACTGTGTATTGTTGGTGTAGTAGATCTAGGATGTCCAGATATTGACGTGAAAGGCTTTGAACGTTACAGAATGAGAAAAGGGATAGTGTGTGTGCAAAAAGAGCCCGTATGGTTTCTTGATCCAGTAGAAAGAGGGGCAATGCCATAAACATGAATGCATGTATTGGAATGGACAATACAGGTGATACATGCTCAAAAATCACCACTACTGTGCTACTACTTCACAAATATCACTTGAACTACAACATCCAATACCACAAATACCACTACAACTGCAGCATCCAGTACCATAACTACCACTACAACTATGATATCCAATTCCACAACTGCCACTAGATCTACAACATTCAGTACAACTACCACCAACACTAAGCAGAAAAGACCAAATACTCCTATATACTGAAAATATCTAAGGCTTCCATTCAAAACAATTCAGTGTAACTTACTTTTGCCACTATACAAGGCTTAAAAACAAAGACAGCAAATTTCCTTCCACAAATGGCCACACAGTGACAAATGCAGTCTTTGAAGCAGTCACAGAAGCTCGTTCTAAAGATTAAGATGGACAATTAAGTTTGGATCCAGAAATACATCTAAAGATGTTGTTAGTTAATATGATACGTGGAGGACCAAGTCTGTATATTATTTTTTTTTTTTTTTTTTTTTTTGAGATATATACAAGAGTTGTTACATTCTTGTACAGCCACTAGTACGCGTAGCGTTTCGGGCAAGTCCTTAATCCTATGGTCCCTGGAATACGATCCCCTGCCGCGAAGAATCGTTTTTTCATCCAAGTACACATTTTACTGTTGCGTTAAACAGAGGCTACAGTTAAGGAATTGCGCCCAGTAAATCCTCCCCGGCCAGGATACGAACCCATGACATAGCGCTCGCGGAACGCCAGGCGAGTGTCTTACCACTACACCACGGAGACTGCAAAGACTCACCTGTACAAAATTATAAAGATCTTCAAATGATGTGGAAGAGATATTAAGAATCAAAGTTAAAGGCAGTAACCTAGTAATTAGCACTAATAATTAAACCCCCCAAATGCAACAGCAAAAAAATCATAGTTGACGAGACATCGAAAACTGCATAAAAACCCCAGTACAAAGTGTTGATTTTTTTAGATTTCAACCTTTAAAATTTCAGGTGGAAGATGACAGATATTATACTAGAACAAATTTCAGGAATTAGCCTAGCCCCAAAAGCGTACACCGGAGAGCTAACAAGGCTTGTGATGAGCATGTGTTTATCAAAGGGGCCTGACAGCTCTGTGGACAGCACTTTGGATTCGTAGTCCTGAGGTTCCAGGTTCGATCCCTGGTGGGGCGGAAACATATGGGTAAAGTTTCTTTCACTCTGATGCCCCTGTTACCTAGCAGCAAATAGGTACCTGGGAGTTAAGCCAGCTGCTACGGGCTACTTCCTGGGGGTGTGTAACAAAAAGGAGGCCTGGTCGAAGACTGGGCTGCGGGGACACTAAGCCCTGAAATCATCGCAAGATAACCTCGAGATCCTGTAGATAGTAGAACCAACTACTGGTCAGAAGTCACTCCCAATTACTGGGGTCACTCCCAATTACTGGGGTCACTCCCAACTACTGGGGTCACTCCCAACTACTGGGGTCACTCCCAACTACTGGGGTCACTCCCAATTACTGGGGTCACTCCTAACTACTGGGGTCACTCCCAACTACTGGGAGGCCTGGTCAGAGACTGGACTGCAGGGACCTGGACCCTCATAATCAAAGCATGGTAACCACAAGTAACCAATGGGGTTAATACTCTTGACCTAATCTTTGGAAATAATGAGGAATTAAGTCGTCACAATCTCAAATGCAACTAATTCACATCACAGGTTAAAAACAGATATAATCTCCTATAATCAGGGCATAGACTGGTAAAAATAACGGTACTCTTCAGAGCACTCCTTCTCTCGCAAATGTAATATTGTTCTGGTCTCGCATTTCCTTTCAAAGCAAGCAAGATAGCAGAGTTAAAAATTATACAGTCACAGCCCACACAATAAAAAAATACTGGAAATTGTGCTTTGTGGAACAGAAATGAGAGAGAGATCTCATACATAGAAAATACTGGTAGGTCAGGCTCCATATCTGCATAAGATGATTACAACATAATGGAGTGAAAAATATGGCAGGAAGTGACTAAATACATCCAATGAAAAGCTGGGGCATCATAGGCAAGATTAGAGAACACAATAAACATCATGGCCATGACTCTGCAGTCTCCTGTCAACAAATAGAAGAAAGAACTTAAGTTTCTGCTAGTTACCAGATCAATCTGACTATGATGGCTATGTGAATTGTGAATTACAATGACAGCCTCATTGACCATGCCATCATAATGGAAGGTGGGTCCTAGGACAAGCTGCAATAAGAGAAACTATTAATGTCATCTACAGGTAGTCTACATTTTGTCCCTTCATGACAAGAAACATTTAAAATTGTTTTACCATTTTATTGGGATGGACTGGAGAGAGTATCTTATTTCACCAACTGAGTGATTGCTCACTATAACACTGAAAAAACATAAACAAGCTGTTATCATTCTCTACAGACTTTCATTTGGATAATTGATAGGCAATTGATGACCAAACCACACATTAGAGAGTGAAAGAAAGACAATGCTTCAGTCCATCCTGGACCATTATGTGGGGTTCAGGGTGGACTGAAACTTCAGCATTTCTTTCACTTTGTGTCATTTGGTCTTCATATCTTCAGCCATGTTATTGTGACTCATCGTCTGCATAACAACCAGTTATTATTCTTTCATTGATTAATAAACATACAGTACTGACCCTTGTTAGGTGGCAGCAGTATCTACCACTTAACAACTCTTGCTTTTCACCCGGCCTCCCACCCATTTGTTGCACTGCATCCAGTGCTTCAAAGTTTGCTTCACAGCATGATAGCCAGTCTCTGACTAGCTATCTGCTTGAGCTTCATTTCAGGATTCTCTTACCTTGTGCTGATTATTGAGGCCCTACTGCCCTTAGAGTTATCTTCATGGCTGTCTGGTGTAGCCATGCTTCTCTTCAAGTTACCTCACTATCTTGGTAGTGTCTTGGGAGTTTTTCTGTGAGTTAGGCTTTGGTGCTGGGCAATTTCTTTACAAACACAGATACAAACTGTGGCAAAACGTGTTGTGTCAGTTTGGTAGCTCTCTAGCCTGGTAGTTTACTAATCAGCAGTTATCAGATTAGTAATTATCTGTCCTTAAGATCACAATGATTGCTTGCAAGAGGGTGTTTGTTTTTTATTATAACAGCAGTTTGTTTGTTTTTATTATTATAATTGGCCATTATGACCAAGACTGTTTGAAATATGCCTTGCCACAGTGGATTAAAAAGACAGCTGAAGCCTAGTGCGTGATGAGTGACCTGAGTGGGGCCCTGACCTTCCTCAAGAAGCAACAGATGGACCACTCAGAAAGGAGTGTTTCATTCTGATCATCGCATTATCTTGTTATTGACACTGCTTCATCATTCACAATGTGTTTATTATTGAGTAAATGAAAAATGGCGGATGCATGTACTGTATATGCTTTTGTAATTTGTAAGAGAAGAGACTTTGAGAATCAACTCAAGGAAATATTAATAGGTTATGCTCATCCACAGGCCCTTGCCAGATGTGCCAGATTCAAGAGCAAAACTGATTGCAGCTCTTCATTCAACAGGCAAAATTCCATCCAGTATGTTCAGTAATTATGTTGAAGCTTGTCAGAAGGAGGCTTCAGACTTGTTAGCAGGTGAGGAGAATTTATTGCTACTTAAATGCAATAATGAATTTACTATGACATCACTTTTTGTTTTATACCTTAAAATAATTGGTAACTCTTATACCCTCCATACCTTGAGATGATTTCGGGGCTTAGCATCCCTGCTGCCCGATCATCGACCAGGCCTCCTATTTTTTGCCATGAAGCCCCTCTGTCACAGACCTGCTTCATTCATATTGGATAAACCCCTTTGTTAGCATACAAAAGTGGTTTCAAGTACATACATACTTCAGTTGTTTATTCTTAATTAAGTCAATTACTATAACCATATCTTAAAGTTCTAAAGCATTCTTAAAGCTCATATTAATTAAAGTTTCAACCATGTTTTGTAATTATCTCATTATACAGATGAACAGTACTTTCAATTATTTGCTTCAGCTCTTAAAGTTCTATACATCTCCCCCCTGTTCTGTAAGGGGGCCTCGCGGCTGAGTGAACAGCGCTCGGGAGTCATAGTCCTAAGGGCCCGGGTTCGATTCCCTGCCGAGGTGAAAACAAATGAGCAGAGTTTCTTTTGCCCTGATGCTCTGTTTACCTAGCAGTAAATAGGTACCTGGGAGTTAGACAACTGCTACGGGCTGCTTCCTGGGGATGTAATGTGTGTGCATGCGCAAGTGTGTTAGAGAGAAATATATGTAGTAGATATAATAGAGGAAAAATAGATTGGTTTAAAAGGTGGGGTTCAAGAGCTAATAGCTCAATTCTGCAGACACAAATGGTAAATACATCTCAGATTTGCTGTGTATGCACTCTTCAATTCATCTAGCTTTTGTTTCCTTATGAGGTTCATATATTTTTATCCTGAAGAAGCCATCCAAAGTACTTTAAATGATAAGGTTCTGCATAGCACTAATGACATGTTAATTTTGTTCATTAATGGCCTGCAATATTCTCTACAAAAATGTTTTGACCCACTTTATCAAAAAAGTTAAAAGGGGTAGATTTCATATATGTATTGACATGTCATTAAAATTAATAGTTGATAAGAGCAAAAACAATTAAAAGTATTTGAACTTGAACTTAAAATATATCACCTTGCCTGGAACAAATTTTCTGTGGTTCTCTGTATCAGCTGTGCTTAGACAAAAGTATACACATTATATCTATGAACATTTTTCTAGAGAGTTTATCTCACCTCCATTGATACATTTGCTAGTGTTAACATCTCTCTGGTATTAACAGTTGCTTCTTGTATATTTTTAGTTGGCAGTGTGTTATTGATGTTGATGATCTATGTGGTATGGTACTAACTGCATGTAAATGTTTCATGTTGTAGTTTTATTGTAGGTGTATTCGTTGATGTTCAAGAAGAAGTTATTATCGAAGAGCCAATCACAGAGCTTTCTAATATGCTACAAGATCTTGTCAGAGAAGCCACAAGCAGTCTGGATGGAGATAAGGTTTCATCATCTGCAGTGCTACCAACTCTCTCTCGAATTTCACAGAAGATTGAAGAAATGATGAAATTTTCAGATTCTCGGCTGAAAAATATTAAATATTTGACTTTGGATGCAAGGAAATTCAATGCAAAGGTGGTATCTTACCAGGTATGTATACTGAAATTATAAGAGCATATTACCTAAATTTAGTTGTACTGTATGTCTAAATATAATAGATGATTCTTGAAATTTTATGATAATTAGATCTAGGTAGGCCCTGTTATCGGTAATGCTAAGATTTTTGTGATTGCTTATATATTGGTGATTGCTTGTACATTGGTACCTCAGTATTCAAACAGCTCCCAACTCAAACACCTCAGCACTTGAATACTTTATTCAAGAATAAAAACACTTGGTAGTCAAACATTTGCTCGGCACTCAAACACCTAACAGACGAGTCTGTTTCACAGCAGCTTTCTTCAATGCATAATCCCACTAAACTTCTCTAGAAACTTTCTCATGTTTTCTTTGATATTTCTTATATTCTTAGCATAAATAAATCACCTTGGCACCTAAGAAAGTTAGTAATAAGTGCCAAATGAAAAAAAATTAGAACAAGGATAGAAATTTGGCTGAGTTCTATCATTCACAGTGATAAAACTCGTGGCAAAATATGAAAGTGGTGTCTGGATGTCTTTTCTTGCTACCTAGTTTAGCATGCCTAAATCTAGTTCACTAATAAAAGAAACGTGTGCAAGATGGGGAACGAAGTGCTAAGTTTTCTTGAATAATATCCTGACAAAGCTGTGGCAACCCATGTTATATACCTGTTGAATGACAATTCTATGTCCCACTTTAGAAACGTTTTAAAATGCAGGAAAAAACAAATATTATTAGACAGGTTTCTTGTAAGAAAGGCATCTAATGAGTCTCAAGAGGGCAGTAGAAAAGGACCAAAAAGAAAGAGACTCACAAAGCTCAATTATCTAATGTTTTTATGATAGGCTACTCCAAAGCCAAACAATAATCTCCTCGGCCTCACCACCTTCCACATACCCCATCAACTCTCCTAAGTACAGGCAAAGTGAGAATAAATTTGCATTTATTTCATCTATTATGTTTATCTCTGTATTTTTTTATCCTCCAGAATGGATTAATCCAATTTACATTATTCCTAAGAAGGAAAAATTATTTAATACTCGAACAGATTGGCACACTAAACAGCCTTCTGGAGCCAATTAAGTTTGAGTACTGAGGGTCTGCTCTTAGTGATTGATACTTGACTGGTTCGGCAGAGGGTGCATCATTTATTATGTCTGTTTGTGGTCATTTGCTATTACTTTCATGACACTAGTGGTGTGTGTGGGGGAGGGGACCCACTGTTTGGGGGGATCTGGTGTCCCTGGTTATTTGTCCCAGGGCCCGTTAATCTTGTCATCAAGTTTAGCCAGCCTGCAGTCTTCCTCTGGGCCCAGGATGTTTATAAATTTACTACTACTGTGTATTATTTTGTATATCTTGGGCAGATATTCAGGCTTAGTGGATTTAGTGGTTCAGCAGAATGCTGGATACTCATTACTAGTACTTGTTGAGTGTTCTTGATCTGAACTGGGTTTGAGGGGCTATGGAATAGTTAACTCTTCATTTATTCCCCCTTACACGGATGTTACTTTCTGTGGCTGTCATCCACCTCTTTTGTTCTGTTCTTTGTAATGAGAGGTACTTCTATACCTCTCAAGTTAGTTTTTCAATTACCTGCCCAAATTTTTTATATTAACATAATATCAAAATGTGCATATTTAGTCTTGTATGCTATTTGCAGATTATAGTGAAAGTAATTGAAACTGTAGAAAAACTGTGCAACACCTGCAAACCTGTGGACAGTACAAGGAAGAGGCGACCCGAGTTTCTGTCACAGTTTCTGTCACTGATGTCTTCTAGTATAACCTTACAATGTGCACTCTTCACACACATTTTGCACAGTCTTAAGATTGGCCAACATGGTGAACTCACCGATGATGAAGTAAGTGACATTTACCAGTGTTTTGTTTTGCAGGCAAGATTGGTCTTTTTTTTTATTGAGTACTCTTTACTATTTAATTTATTCGACTGACAAATTAAAAATATTTCAGGTAGAGAATCATGGCATAATTCTGTCTGAGCTGTGGAAAATCGAGGGTCTCTTTCTTCCTGTTGTTGGAGTTTCGTTTCCAGATCAAGATCCTCAGTGTTTCATCAAATTCTACTTGGAGAAACTGGAATTTAATTCTCATCAAGCATGTGTATTTGCATGTAGGTTAGTTTAAAAAACTAAATTTTTTGTGTTTATTTTGACACGTAGTGATTAAGTGGCAACAATGTTGAAAGTTATGTATGAGCTATCACATTTGGTTGCTATCACAGATGTTGCTCCAAAGTTAATGACCTCTGTGACCTTAGATAGGAATGTGAACAATCAGGCAGGGCGACGTACAGCATTGTCCTAGGGAGTCGCTAGAGAATATTTAAGGCATCATGGCTTGCTGTTAAAGGGTCAAGAATGTAATAAAAGGAGTTCATAAAATGAAATATAACATTTATGGGACCTAACACACCGGTGAGACTATAGTAGGCCTACGGATTGTTTGATAACTCACACCAAACTTATCTGCTATCAAATTTCACTTGTGCACTTTGAAACTTGGTGGAAAGTGCTTGCCTATATATACAACCAAATATGCATTCTCCAGCACTGTGTAACTTTATATACTTTGAGGCTGTAATAAGAATGTTGTAAAGGTTATTACAGTAAAAGTAAAAGTTTTGGAAGCTCTAGTCTAGTTATCTGATTGAAACTATCAGTTGTACACTGGAGGCAAATTTCATCCTGTTTCAGCCAGTCTAGAATGATTCTTTTAATTGGATATAATTAATGCTGGCATACACTTTTAGTTCCCATGATTCAATAAACATTATGGCATTATAAATCTAATGTTGTACGTATAGTATTTTTATTTGTTTTTGCAGCATCATGAATAGTTGGCTGATGTGGTCCATTATGAATAGAGACAATACAGATGATATGGAACCCATGTTGACCTCTCTTCCAGTCGAGCTTCTGGATCTCTACTGTTGCTTAGCCCCTCGGCTTGCTCTCATATATAACCAAGGTAATTCCAAGTGTGTTTAGCAGTTGTATTCGTTATCATTTTGTTTTACTGACAAAGTAGTACTAGTAGGAAAGCATCTCCGTTTGTCTTAATCCTAGAATAAATCCACTACACTTTCCTTCAGTGCATGGAGACCATTCCGCTTCACATCTGGTTAAAATAATTTCAATGGTGAGCGATGATGCACAATGTAGCTTGGGGAGGGGGGTGTCCATCCAAGTTTCTTCACATGAAAAATGTGTGTGTAATATATATATACCGGTGTGTATATACATATATATACTGTATATATATATTTTATAAATTATTTTTCTAGATACACTTTCACATTCTTAATTTGTTTGCATATAGCCTCTTTTTTCTACTATTTTTGGTCATTATTAATTTTCATGGTATACTACATCACTGGGCTTCAATCAGACAAATTTAAATTGTCAAAATTTGCATTTGCATTATAATAAAGTCACCCACTGCTGAAGTCACATCACATTCCAAGGACGACCCATCTTCCACATTCCAGTCCACCCAGCCTACAATTCCCAGGAAATTCCTTAATAACACAAAATTAGCATTAGAGAAATGTAACACCCTAACAGCATTTTCTCTGGCACAACACTTTTATCCCATGTTAAATATGATTTCCTGTGTGATCACAATTCCCTAATTCACTCCATATTTTAATGTTATTAGTGCCTCACTGTTGGCTAGATCTTAAAAAGTAAGGCAAATGGTGATTGTAAAAGTCCTCCTGGCCCATTTGATACATGTCCTGTTTACATCAAACCACACCCAGTCATATGTTTATCCTAATCTATGCTGAAACTTTTCAGTGATCCCATTTCTAATTTGTGACTTGGTAATCTGTTCCATAAATCTACTACCCTATTTCCAAACCATAATTTGCCTATTTCTTTTCTAACTCTAAAGTTCTCCAAAATTTTTACATGTCCTGTACTTAACCTAAGTTGCCAACAATTAAAATTATCTTATCTTTATTTTCAGCATTTTTTTAATACCCTCAACCTTATTAATAATTTTAACACTGGTCCTTATTGATTTCATCCTTGCCCCATTCATCTTCGTAGCTTCGTTGTCACATTCAAAATCTGCAGATTTCTCATCATTTTTTCTTGTCTTAATCCAAAGGGATTTCTTGCTGTTGACAGTCCACTTCTTGTTTGCCTTGTCTTTTGCCTCCAGATGATTCTGGAGTTTGACATTCTACTTCTTAAGAAGCTGCACTTTTTCACAAAATCAAATTTTGCTTTCAACTCAAGAGAGTATTTGAGGTTTACGGAACTAAACAAGTCACAATAACTACCATCAGGGTTACCCTAAAGTGTCTCTTCTTGTTCTGTCTCTTACAGATGGCTGCAAGTACCAAGCTCAAACTCCTGTTTTGAAGGGCAGTTGCTTGGTTGAATGTTAAAGGATGTGAAAATTTTGTCTAGGCACCTGGTAAAATTGCAATTTGTGTAGAGAACAACCATCTTTCTTGTCATAATATTTAACATGGCAAAAGGGGTTATGATTCTTATTAAAATAATTTGGTAAGGTGTCTTTTTGAGTTTCATTTTTTTTTATTTATTTTCCTTTTTCCTTTTTAGGTGAAAGAGAGGTGACAATCGCTGATGTATACTTATATCTTGAAGGCTTTGATGTCCCAGTGTGTTCTAGACTTTACTTTAATCAGACATATAATTATATTCAAAAGTATAAGGTACAGTATGTCTTAAAGATTTGTTCGGTTATGACTTTCGATGCTCTAGGTTATATAGTATTAACAATACATCCTAAATATTCAAGAATGAGGATACTACTATTGTGCATCTTCATGACAATATTCCATATTTTAAAATTAGCATACAGAGCAGCATTTTTCAACCTTGGTACCCTTGAAATAATTTCAAGTCATACTCTAGATAAAAACACAGATTTTATTGTCTTTGAGCAAAGATTATTGTGCAAAGACAATTTCTGTCTTTGCTCTTGATAGTGGTTAAATAAGAAAAATCAAAACACAAATTACTCAAAAATATATTTGCATTTAATTAGAAATAACCTATTTATCAGTATCTATTGCAGAACCCCCTTAGTTATCTTGGTGTGTCACAGGACAGTGGTTGAAAAATGCTGCTATAGAGTTAGGGAAATTATCTGAAATGATGGCAATTAAACAATAATAAAAGTTATTTTCTTTGGAGACCCTCTCAGTGGTTTTCCCCTAAGCTTATGTATTGCCACTTCATGGTTACAGTCAGTGTAGTTGATAGTTATTAATCAGTAAATAGAGAGCACAAATTAGCTGTCTTTGGAATTACAATAATAAGAATGTACAGGGAGTGTTGAGTGGTTTATTTCTTATAGTAAGTCATCACTGGGTGGCAGATTGAGATAGTTTATCCATTGTCTAACTGGCCCAAACACACTTGGCAAGATTATTTGTAAAGTTTCTTGTCACTAGGGAGCAAAAAGTTGGCTAAAGCCTGGCATGTGAAGAAGTGTTCTAGTTGGATCTTGGCCATCGTTCAGAGAGCTACTGAAAGATCACTCAGAAAGGAGCATTTCATTCAACTCCCTATCTTATTTTTATTGTATTTAGTGGCAATGAAAGCATAAGTTTACTTACGATTTTTGTAATTTTTGTAGCATGGATTTCTTCAGTAAAGAAGAGCCAACCAATCTTAACGCAATTTGATTAAGCTTAACATAGTGTAGAGTAGGTTAGCTTTGGGTACGATAGGTTACGTTTAGATGTAATTGTGTCTAATAATTGCCTGCTTAAAGTATTTGAGTTTGTTTTCACTGTGTATTGTGAGGATATGCAAATTAGTATATTAGTGTCATTTTTGTATGCCATTGTATATATGCAATTGTTCTCTTATTTTAATTATCTTTGCAAGATACACTTTGAGATCAGCCAGGAGGGATGGCACTCAATGATGGTTGATTTTTCTATTCTGTTAATGGGCACATTATACAAAAAAAACTTTCTGAACTTTTCCATATCTATGACAAAAGTTAGATTAGGAAAAAATTAACTGTTTCCTTGAAGTTCATTAGTGATAACCTTTTCCAAGCTTTGAACTGAGCTGGACATAAGTGTATTTGACTTTCCCTTTATGTTTAGGTGACACTAAATAAAAGGTTAATTGCTATATTTCCTTCAAGTTTGTATTATTCTAACAGATTCCTCTTGAGAAATGGATTGATTTTGAGCTACAAGCCACTTGGGAAGATACCCCTATAGATGTACGACAGACTTACCTTAAGTGTAGAGTGCTACAAGTTTTTGTGTCGAAAGAGGACACTAGGGTCACGGACAATACAGATGAAGTGGCTACAAGGAGTACAGTGCATGTGTCTATTCACCAAATAGTAACTCGGATATTTTTTACCTTCTTAAACATTGGACTGAAGAAGGTAAGTAAACTTTTGTTTTGACTTTTTATTTTTTATTTTATTTTATTTAATATTTTTTTTTAAATATCTGCTCATAGTTTCAGAGATATAAACTATATTGGATGTTGCTGGAAATTCCAAGCACTTCTTAAAAGAATGTCTCACTTGTACTGTCCAGTAGTATCCAAATTGTTAGAAATAATAATTTATATAGATGAAATATAATTTCCATTCATAGTGGTTTAATTTGCATTATAACACAAATGTAAATGTTTACTTAGTCTATTTTTTTTTTAGGCTAATTGTAGTAGCAAAGTCCAGAAACATTAACACTTTCGCGTGTCTGGTGGGCACTGCGAGGTAGGCCAAGCGTTGGCCGTGAGCACACAAACACCCAAATGTTTATTCTCTTTTCAGCTTTCTCACCTCAATTTGTGCGCTACATCATTTATTTTGGTATCAAATTGTTCGCAATATCATGGTGCACATTTTAAAACCAGTCCCATAATATGCGGACAATAAATGGAATTTTTTAATATTTATTAATTGATGACAGCGTTACTGTCATCAGGGCCTCTGCCCTGATGTTTCCCGTGATCAGAGACAGCATTTTAACAATATTAGAAGAGAAAATAATTTTTTGCTGTGCTCCACAGGAGTGTCATATTTTAATGCAGCGCGGTGCAATGGTTAAGCTGAATTCATCTCTTGCATTAGCTTCTGTGTCTTCAGAGATTACATAATATAAGCATCGTTCTGTAGTTAATAAATGTGTGTGCATGTATTTTCAGTATTTCTTTACCGATTGTGTGAAAGAAGATGAGGATTCAGACTAGTTTTATCTCACTTGTATGATAATGTATAACTAATATTTATGTATAATACCTAGTATTAGGTATACATTATCACCTGTGTGCTAATGTATACCTAATATTTCTTTCCATTACAGCAAAATTCAAGTGAAATATTAATGCTGATACAGTCACTTGCTCAATACGATCCAAACCCTGGTATTTGTCTTCTGCTTGAATGGTGTAGGCGAGACAGACTCTATGGTAATATTTCGGTGTTGTCCTTCATGAGGTATGTAAAGTAGTGAAGATGTATATGTATTGTTTTATTTTGCAATCAGTAGTGTGAAATTTTAACCCTTAAACTGCTAAGCTATTCAAAAGTTCTGCATCCAAGTGTGTTTTGACCCATAAGGTTCAATCACTTATTTGCGCATAGGAAAAAGTTCAAACAGATTTGCAATAAATTGGTAAAAGTGGGGAACAGAACATGTCTGGTACCAGTTGGTCCACTCAAGGAAGCTGCTACCATGTACAATAAATACTATTCAACTCTTGTCAAGCATTGCTAATATCTTTGCACATGTTCTGTTTAATATAATTAATTAATTAGATATTGGTCTCTGTGTCCATAAAAATACTGTACTTTGAATTTGCTCATACCAAATGTATGCAGCTTAAATTCATATGTTAATTCTGTGTGTGTGTTGAGAAGACTTTAAATAAAGTCTTTGCATTTATCCAGTGTAACTGGATAAAAAAAAAAAAAAATTTTGAAAGGTTACACATTTCTTATGTTTATCATCATCTTTTCAGCATATGAAATGGGGATGATCAGATGGAGCTTGGGCTTTCATATAAATATATTCCTAACATACATGTATTTCCATCTGAATTTATAAGATGGAGAAATTTGTCATAAAGCATAACATTACTTTTACTGCTTACAGTATTTGCCGCTGCCTCCCTCCACCACTCTTCTTGACAGGTGAACAAATTTTTCAGCTTTCGGGAGTCTTCCGAAACCTGATTGAAAATCTGCAGGTAAATACCTTTTTCTGTTTGATATTGTTGCACAATGAATGCTTGATGAACCGTAGTTGTTACCATAGTCTAGGGGAATGACGAATACTGTACGTAAGTGGTCATGTATTTACTGTCACACCCTCTCTTTCTCTTTCTTTGATGTATTCACTGCATTCTCTACTCCCATGTTTTATTTTACTCCAAATTTGTATCCAATAATCAATATTTTATGATACAAAAAGATTATCACAAAGATTAAAGTTGTGTACATCACCCCATGTGTTTAAAAGTTTCTTGTATTCTTATTAGGTTGCTAGCCAGGATGTCCAGTTGAATTTGTGTGATACAATCTTCCTATGCTCATCAGTGCTGAGTGCAGCTGCAATTGATGGTGTGACGAGCATTCAAGTGGACCAGTGCCTTATGCCACTCAGGACCGCCATTGTGGTAATTTATATTGTTCTTTTGATACACTAAGGAATAAAAAGATTAATCCCTTTGTTTTCATTCATAGGAAACAAAGAACATAGATCTTTCAATTAGCACAGGTTATCTGTTAGGAGCATTAAACTACTTTCTTTTGAATACTTCTACAGATTATATCAGAAGAAATGAGATAAGAATAGAAAAGTAGAATGTATTCTAGGTAGACAATGTGCCGAAGATGGTATGAGAGGAAAGCCGCTGATCAGAATGTGGTACTACAAACTTAGGTTATTCTTGGCTGGGGTCTGAAAGGGAATGTGGTTTAGTTGGAAGAGGTAACTGAGATGACTAATCCTGCTTGTACTAACCTCCAGGTTGGTAGCTGCTTTGCCCCCATTTGATTGAATGTGATTATTCCTTTTTCTGTCTCATATTTAGTTTGTGGTGCCCATGGAGGGCTTGGACATTCTGAGTCTTCAAAGTCTCCTGTCTTCCTGGTTTACAGGCTAGGCAGGATTTGTTCCTGATACAGAACAGAAATCAGCCTCCTGGCTTTGTTTCCCAGTTCTTTCTGGCCGGCAGGCAGTTCTTTGCTGTCTGTGAACAAGTTGGATGAACAGCAGTTCCCAGGTTCTCAATTCTTTGTGTTGCTCTGCCTGTGGACAATTTTGATTACATCAACTGAGCTCTGTATTCTCTAATCATGTTGCTTAATGTGGCTTTGGGCAGCTCCCTGATTAGGTTTTTCCACTTAGAGCAGCATCTGTTTGTTGCTGATTTTATGTCTCGGTCTCGCTTCACATATTTTAAAGTTATATTCGTGACTGAAACTCTTTCTCTCAGCTCTGGGACAAGTTGGTTTGGCTGCAAGGGTCAAACTCCATGCCTATTTGTTTCCTCATTCTGGTAGCCTGAGACACTGTGCTATGGTAACAGGATCATTTATATTTTCTCATGAACATGCCAAAGTTCCATCTTCTATCTCACTATTTCCATTGGTTTGGTTGTGTGTAGGACAGCAGAGCAACCTCCATCTTTCTGTCAGAGACTTGTCTATATTGATTATCTTTCATTTTTCAATTTATAACGGGGGAAAAACATGTATTATGTTCCTGAAGATTTTAAACTATTGAGAAAAAATAATTAGGGGCAAGATAAATAGTTGTATTAAAAGTAGATTGTACTGAGGTATGCAATGCATTTTATAGCAGAGGAAAACAAGAAAGTTGTATTGGGCAGAAAAGGCTATGAATAATACCTTGTTATAATTAAGGTTCAAAATTATATTTTATATATATTTTTCAGTTCCACTGGGAGTCTCTTAGGAGTTTCTTCAGGAATCACAGTGCGATCATCAAAAGACAGAGCTGTTTAGTCTCTCTGTGGATCGCAATGACAAATCTAAGCAAGAAAACCATCAATTATCTTACTCCAGATGAAGCTGGCCTCAGACTGTTAGCCATGCATCTCCACAATTCAGTTTGTGAAGAAGACGAAACGAAAGCTTTGGTATCTGTTGGTGGAGGTCCAGTGTACACAAAATGGCTCTTGGCTTACTTAGGTCTGCAGCAGATGAGAGGCTCTGTTCCCTCTTTTCCTGACCAAATGAAGCTTCTTGACATACAAGAGAGAGATAAAAAAATAATTTCAATTTGCCAGGCAGAGCTTGATAAGATTTTAACCACATCAGAGGTGGTAAAACTTGTAAATGAAATTTTCCCAAGTAGGTACGATAAGTTTCTAGCATTGAAATCAGTCCCTATTGCTTGTGTCTTTGTGCTTCTTTGCAACAGTATCTCGTCATATGAGAGACAAACAGATATAATGGAGAGTAAACTAATGATAAATCGGTTTGAACTTCTCTTACAGTGTCATATCTTCCTTTGTCATAAGTTCGATGAACAGGAAAGTTCAAATGCAGGTGAGCCTGTAAACAAGGCAGCATCTGAAAGTCACAGAGTGGCTAATTCAGACTCACCAGATCTGGATTACTTGGCAGAACTTAACCAAAAAATATTTTCATGTTTATCTAAAATATCCCCAAATACATTATCAAAGTTATCAAAGAATACATTTTCAAAATGTGAACCTGAGCTAAAGGCAGCGATAAAATTTAAATTGCAGTTGTAACAAATAATGTAAAGATTGAGAGAAAAATATAAATATTTTTCCATATTGTATATGTTTTTTTAACTCAAAACTAGATAAGCAGCTTAATTAGTGTTATAGTTGAGATTTAATTTCTCGCTTAGATATTGATCTATGAGAGAGCATTTGAAAATTCAGTGGGTCTTAATTTCTGTGGTCCTGGAGCACAATACCTCATACTCAGTTCCACTGGGAACTGAGTATGAGGTATTCATAATATATTTTGCATAGTACAGTTGTATGACAATGGAGTATGTATAAAACAAAATGGCATACCAGCTTGGCAATCCCCCATCTATACTGAGCATTGTCATCTACACTGATCATTCCCCACCGATACTGAATATTGTAGAGCAGCAATATTTGCACAACCAGCTGGGAGTTTAAATTGCAGCAAATTATAACTGACTCTTGTATAAATATTTCCAGCAGTTGAAGATTAAGATATTGGAGAAATGTGTAATTCTACTTAGCAACACAGGGTTAAAAGAAATTACATATATTTCTTTGTTTATTGTTAAAACAAATAGCAGCAAGTTCTTTTCCAAAATATGATAATTAATCTTACAAATTCTCTCTGTATGAACTCTTTAAAAAGTATATATATATATATACTGTATATAGAAATGTATGAAGCTAAACATACGTGTGTAGAGACGTGCCAAGAGGAGAGGAAGTTTATTTGTAGATAAAGTTTTGTGTGTTGCCTTATGAAATCATATAGTGATTTCAACAGCCCAGTGCACTGCGCTGTTGCTTATAAAGGAGGAAAGTGAGAGAGGTGATGTCAGTGAGATTAAGGTTGGTCAGTGAGGTGAGAGTGAGGGACGTGAGTGACTTGTTACAAAATATATTTATATGTTAATAATTTAACTAGAGGAGAGTATTGTTGAATTTTTATTTATTGTTTTGGGTGGTGATGGTGGTGTGCTGTGATGACTGCATGCTCTATACACTGTCTCCTAATGTTTCTTCTTTGATGATGAGTTGAGCTTCCCATAAAGTTTGTGAGGTGGTGATTTTGAACTTCACGAATGTTAAGCTCATCCTCAAAGAGAGAACCTACATTAGGAGATAGTGTTAAGAGTTTCCAGTCATAACGTACTACAATGCCATCCAACAAGATGAAGGAAATCTCGTTATTGCTCCATAATATAAATTGTAGCCTATAATCACCTCAGACCTCAACCAACCTTTGCTTTATTGACCTCGCCCCTTCTTGCTTTAACCTCCTTTATAAGCACTTGCTCTGTGTATTTGTTAGAATTGATGAAGAGCCCTCGTAAGAAAACTCGTCTACAAATGAAGCCTACTCTCATTTTGGTGTGTTTCTACATCGATATCAGCACTTTGTGCTCGCTACTATAAACACTCCTACTTATTCACAAATACAGTACAGCAAACTGCATATACACTCAAATATATATACTGTATATATGAATACATTACATACATACATTGACAAGCATACGTACACAAGTGCATTCACACACACACACACACACACACACACACACACACACACACACACACACACACACACACACACACACACACACACACACACACACACACACACACACACACACACACACACACCATCATTCAAGTATAAAACTGACAGGTTTAACAGGCTAAGAGAAGAGCGCGTGTACACAATATTCACTAACAAATATGTCAGTGATTTTTAGGGCAACGTGAAGTGTTTTGGGGAGTATTAGAAGTTTCTCTCTTTCTCTCTTGGGCAACAAAGATGATTAACAGAATTCATTGCTGCATGTGTTATTGTTTCCAGTGAGGGTTTTCAATTTAGAGATGTCTTAACACATCATGTTCATTTTATAACAATTTAAAATGCATTCTTGATACGTTTAAACCAAAGGTGGAAAAAAAATTCACGATGAAAATCCAGAAGCTGAACATGTACTTGACTACTAATCACCTGGTAAGTGATACATTTGGTGTTACTGTATATACAGTATAGATTTATTTTTATCAGTCAAATATAGATTTCAATGTATAAATATTATATAGGCCTTGGACAAGTTCATAATTAGGTAGATCTGTAAATTTTATTGCTAGTATTGTGCAAAGAATATTCTCAAGAAGATGGAAAGTTTTTTTGTTATGTTTTTTTGTTTTTGTTTTTTGTTTTTGTTAAATTTGTGGCGATGACAACACTTTTTGTGGTGATTTGTTTTCCATATACAGTCCAGTACACTTGAGGTTAGGTTAATTGAGCTTTGCTAGCTGTAGCATGTCAAATATGACTTAACATCTCAAATTAGTCATGACAAGGCTCTCAATATTTTAAAATATAAAAGCCATAAGCCACGACAAAACAGTTTGAATTGCATATACAATTTTACTTTTATTTGTGTTTAACAAGAAACAAAATAGCAGTTAGGGTACATCATTGACAACCAGTTGACAGTAACAGTAGAGGAAGCAAATCCCCTAACTCTGTGTACAAGTGTTGATTATCATTTCTATGCATTATCTTAGAATTTAATTTTCAGATACTGCTCACATTCAAGATTTTATCTTCATGTAATAGAGTTGTCCAGCCTGAGATCTGCTCAGATGCTCTCTAGGGCAAGATCAATCCCGTTCCCACAAGGATTGGATCATAACATTCAGGACAGGATGACAATCTTCACCAGTGCAACAGGTATCCTATTAAACATTTCTATCATGTTGTTATGGTATTGGGGAGGGAGGGAGGGAGTGAATTATCAGGGAAAAGCACCAAGCCATTACAACTATATATCACTTGGAAGGGATCAGGATAAAGATTTGGGATGGGACGGGAGAAAGGAATGGTGCCCAACCACTTGGACGGTCGGGGATTGAACGCCGACCTGCATGAAGAGAGGCCATTGCTCTACCGTCCATGGTGTTGAGGAGGCAATGGAAAAAGCTCATTCCAACTTGGAATAATTATAGAAAATTTACTCATAAATACTCAGAACCTTTCCGAGCTTTAATTGGCATCACAAGGATTATCAAATGCTGCTCTCACAAACTATGTGCTACCTCACCCACCGCCAGATGGCATCACCTGCCTAAACATTGTCCCATGTCTCGAGTCTCGTCATAATTTTTTGTTTTTTTTTATTAGTCCCTTATGGGGTGAGGCTTATGGGTACATACTTGCTTTAACAGCACAGTACATATATAGCATGTGGAATTTTTCTTGTGTACATATTTTGTTTTTGCGTCTCTTGTCTTAACAAACTAACAGTCCAGAGTTGCCTCCTTTCCAGTTATGTTCCCATTTCAGTTGTTGCTATTATCCATTTCAAATTAAATATGCTGCATCTTGGTACTTTGTTCTAGAATTAGATATATGTGCTTTGCACCACTTTAGTACATTCAGTTTGGTTTTTCACCTGTATGAGTTCTTTGTGGCTTTTTTGTTCTCTCTCTCTCTTTCTCCTGTCACACACTTCTTTTGCCCTTCCTTAATGGTTAGATAGGGTTCAGTCAACTAGTAAGTCTTTCTTTACCCCTCAGGTCTCCTATTGTAGATGCCTGATAGTCAGGTGACCCATTACTGTATACTGTATCAGGTGATGTATTACTGTTCTGTGTGATCAGTTTTTTTCCCTCCCCCCTCCATGTTGTTTGCTGTTGCTTAGCAACATGGTAAATTTCTACTGGATGCAGCTGGGAAGCGTGGTACTGTTTGTGGCATATGTTACTCCTGATCTGTCGTTTCGATGATGGCTGTCAATGATGGTTAATTCAGGATGGCTGTCGTTCCTTCCCTCTGCATACTTCTTTTTTATATTCAGAGTTCCTTCCACCCTCAAGTGAGGTTGATGCAATAATTTTCAAATGCTTCATCACATGTCAATGAAAACATGTGTTTGTTTACCTCTCCTATGTTTCATTTTAGGCAGGGTTATGTTAGGGTCAGCAATATTCTTGCCTTTAGGCCTCCTTATTTTTTCACTATTGTGTGTGAGGTAGAGGACCTAGTGATTTATTACTTGATTGTTACCTGTGCTGTTCACTATGAAATTGCAATACCATACAGCATGGGATTTGGAAAAGTGCTGCTTTGTGGAATATGGAATATTTCCATTCATTATTCCTGTATGGAAATATAGGAATACTGTAATGGAAATCCAATTAGTTTGATAAGTGACCATTTAGGTCTTTCTGCTCACATCTTGGCATCCAGAGTGATATCCTGCAAGTCTTGAATATTCTGTACCAATTGACAGTGCTATACAGTGCCATACTGGCTTGGCACTTGTGTTTGATAATTACTTAATGCAATATTTATGCAAACATAACTATGGTCGAGGTGTTTTCTGTTCAGTCAAGATGTGATTTGTATCTGTCTTTTTCCAGAAGGGTATGTGTGTATATTGGCTACCTTTCTCGATTCTTGATGCTCCACTTACCTTCATTATGAGGATTTAGAGGGATTTGGCTTAATTTTGGCTACATATGATGAACTCTTGGGCACTTGAAAAAAATATGCACCTTACTCTCTGAACAGCCTTGCCCTGTTAAGTCTCGCACATCCTCATAATGTCCAGATTTTTCAAGATCAGAAATTTTGCTTTCCCAGTGTTCAATAAAATCCTTGGTGAATTTGACATCTTTGATATTACTCATCTAATGATGTGCTCTTAATGGAATCCTGAATTATATATCTAATTTTTTTTAATGTGACACAGATGGTGCTAAATAGTCTTCGGGTTTTGGTGCTGTTCTTGATAATTACTTGCAGACTTTTTTTGGAGAGGAAAGTATCTCCTATTAGGCAATTGTCTCCAGGTATTGGTTGAGGATTTTTCCACTCCTTAACAGGGCTGGCACTATCTCTTCCTTAGATGAAGAGGCACTCCAGCCTTTCATTTAAGACTTTGGTCTTGTTCCTGTACACACCATTTTGGGTATCGGTTTCCAAAATTGGATGGCACTATTTCCTGGATTGTTATGATTCGTCTCTTTAGTTTTGGTATGCTGCATTCTTATTTTTGTCTTGATTACAGTGGTTGTTGAGAATTTCCTGAACTGTAAAGCTTCTCTGTCATGCCTTTCTACTGATCAGGCTAGTTTGGGGTTTTGAGGATTTTTCTCTCAAGAATCAGCTGGGCAAAGTATAGTATCTTTATCTCGCATTGTTCAGCTTGGGTTCAGCTTTGTGCTTTGCCACCTTGTTTGTGGCATCCCCTGTCTTCTGCAAGGAAGTGGCAGCTTCCTTTATTTTTGTCAAGTGGTTTTTAGTAATTTTATTTTCTAAATTTTGTTACATCTTTCATTACAGAAACCTGTTGTGTATTTTGTGTGTTTGGAAAGTAAAAAACATTTATAGACCTGCATGTATGTGTCATTTTGAACATCTGTAACTTGCCAGATAAGCCTTAATCAGTAGTGGTGCATATTGTAAAATAAGGTAAATATAATTTTCAATTTACAAAGCAAAATATCTTTAAGAGCATTCTTTAAATATACTAACAAAATATCATCTTGTCTTACAGAGTAATGGATTGCTTGGATTCATTTAGGTAATATTTGTTAGGTTATAACTGCAACTTAGTTTTTACATTCACATAAATGTTGGTATTTAAACAGTAGTTTGAACTCCCATAAAATGCTAAAGAATTATTTCATTCAGCAATTTACTTTAATAACATATATATACATGTTGATATATACACAGAGTAGCAAAATAATTTTATTATAAGATATACAGTTTATCGCTACTGCCAACCTTGTGGGATTTAGTGGAGATTACGGAGATCTGATTGGCAGAGCAGGCGCAACTTGATGCCAGTTCTGGACCACTTGTATCCTGTAGTTGATGATGACTATAAGAACAAGTTTTTCGTTTCTGGCAGGAGGATTGTGTGCACGGAACTCCTGCCAAGGGCTGACTTATAGAGCATAAACCACTGTCTACAGTCCTATTTCCCGATGCATTGTATGACATAGTTGAGATTGACCTGCTTCTCCTAGGAACTCTGTTTTTACATTTAGCATCACAGAACAGAGTGGCAGTATTACAAGCTTGGCACATGTCTCTACCACTAGACAGGAAGGAGAGTGGATTCCCATCAAACTCTGTCTGTGGTGTAATTTTTGTACATGTGTGCAATTTTGTGGGATAGGTATCTAAGAGAAGGGTATTATTTACTAAAGCCGGAGAAATTGTTCTCCTTGGTGAACCACCACCTCTTTCTGCAAGACAACTCACCGTTTCACAAGAATCATCATGCAGATTATTAACAAATATTTTTGGGACTCGGGTTCTTGGGAGAGAGTTACATTTTCTATGTATTAATGCTGACTTGATGCCAACATCATAATTTGTGGCCCCAGAAACTTTTTGGACTTCAGAAACACTATCTTGAAACTTCTTGGGTGGTGAAGTATATTGTTCGTCTATTTTATTTCCTGCTGCACTATTTGTGGCTGAAGAAGTGCCAAGTGTATTAGGTACATGTTGGGTAGAAGTGCTGTTATTGTTTTGGTGGGCTGGTGAGTGCGGATCTTGGTATCCAGCAAGACAGTTAAGTAATGTTGCTACATCTTGAAACCCTCCAAGAAACCGTACTTCTTCAACACCATCAATACCTGTAAATGAATTTGAAAGAATTAAAATCTTGTTATTTTGTTTTGTTTTCAACAAATACCCAAATTTTCTATATCTTATGTTGCAGTAGATATTTTCATAAAACTCTAGATACTGTGACTTAATACCTAGGTACTTCTGCTAAATTCTTACATGATCCTGTACGATTATGATTACAGATTTGGATCAGATCGTTAAAGCATTGATATACATTACGTGAGTGTCCATAGCATTACAAAAATGAGAACTTTAGTGATTTAGAATTATATGGCAAAAATTGTCCTATGCAAGATGATGCCAACTGGAAGCCACACTATAGCAAAATAGGAATATAAAAAGTGGGAAATACCTTTCTATCTTGCTATATGAAAGGATAGTTGTAGCCTTCCTGCTTTTGAGTGGTAATTTTTTATATATATACATATATTTATATATACACACACACACGTGCTGAAGATTTTCACTAATTGGCATTGCTATAGTGTAAATGGTACCATTGACTTACTGTTTATGTACTAAAAAAGTATTTTAAGTTAGTAAAGCTTAGGGTTAGGTATACTTCAGTTAGGTTAGATTATATTATATTAGGTTAAATTTGTTTAGGTTAGGCTGGGTTTAATGAAGTTAAAATAGATTAGGTTGGACTTTGGTTAGATTAGATTGTTGGATTAGATTGGGTGGGTTAGTTCAGGTTAAACTGGGTTAGGTTAGATTTGAAAACTATTTACATAAAATAAGTACACAAATATAGCTATTAAGGTTACTTAACATATGTATCCCTGCATATTCACACCATAATGTGCAAACTCAGTTGCAAATTACTAGCAACTTGCAGTTACAAATATGCTAATTAATATATTGCCTATTGTGTTTCAGTTTCACCTGCAAGACCAAAAAACAACATACTGGAGTGAAAGATTTGGAAGGAAATGCAGAATAGAACCAGTCAGGAGTTAGAAGTGCCATAAGAAATAATGCTGGAATAAAGGTGGACATCTTCAAGAAGCAATTAGACAAGTTCCCGCAAGTGGTTGTAGTGGATAAGGGGGTTTGCTGGCTGCTGCTAGCAACAGCCTACTGAACCAAGTTATCACAAGTCAAGCCTGGCCCCATGCAAGGCTTGGGGAGTAGACAAACTCCCAAAACCTTCTCCAGGTAAATGTATATATATAATATCACCACACATGAATGGTGATATGAATAATTACACATGATAAACTATAGGGTTGCTTGGGTCACATTTCTTGTCTTAGAATAAAAGCATGTAGGGCTGTAGATTACTAATCATGTCCCATGTATATACATATATGGTAAGAGTGAGATACCTACCAGAACAACAAGATGACAGTGACCCTGGGGAGCTGCCATCACCTTCATAAGCATAATAGCGAAGGTCATCAAGTGAGGGCAAGTTAGGGCAACCACATCCACTGTCTGGTGCAGCTGCCTTCTTGGCCCCTGACTTGTCCTTGTGTACCACATCCACATCTACAAAAATAAAAAAGTTACCTTCGGCATTTTTTAGCTATTTGTAACCTCTTTTTATCGATATTTATTTATATTTGACTCATAGTTAAACAAAGCAATGGATGAAGTGATGTGCACAAATGCCTAGATTAGTAGTTACTGAGGAAGAAGTTATTAAATAACTTGAAATATAAAGCTACTAAGTTCACAGAACCACTAAAGGTTTCCTGTGGTGCAATTAAATTTATAATACTACATAAATTTATACTACATGCAAATTTATACTATACTACATAATACTACCTGGGAATCTTAAAAAAATGAAATGTTTTTTTTTTATGTCTTGTATATTTAATAAATATTTAATAAATATTTAATTATTTAATAAACCATTAGACTGAAGGCGAGTACCAAAATTGTTGAATTGCAAATGTGGTAACTTTTTTGTTTGACGGGGATGTACGTCACTTGCAACAAACTATCAGCCAATAAGTTTGATGTCTATTATAGGAAACCCACTTTAATCTAGAATTACAAATGCAAATACTTTAGTACATATTTTGAAAATCATTAAAAAGGATTCACAGTATCGCTGTTCATATTTAATATAATTGAAATACAGTACTCAAATTAATTTCCAGTCTACCAGGAGGAGTTGAATGTGTAGTCCAGTTGGCTACATTCTCAACTCACAATTGAGGATCTGGGGTTAGATCCCTGGGTAGGACAGAAATAGCTGGGCATGTTTCCTTTCACCTGATACCTCCATTCACCTACTAGTATATTGGTACTGGCGAGTTAGGCAACTGTTGTGGGGTTGCATCCTGGTAAGGGTCAGTAGTTCAACCTCTGGGTGACCTCGATACAAAACAAATTACATACTTAGACTTGAGTTAAAGTCTGATACTGTTCCTCAGTATCAGGATGAGAGAAGTGCATGGTATTAAAGGGAATATTTTAAATTGTGTTAAGGCATAGTTGTTTAAAAGGAAACAGGGTCACCATAAATGGAATCCAGACCTGTTGGATTTTATCCAATATCTTGCTGGGATAGAAGGATGTTGGAAACAATCATGTGGAGTGCCCTGGGACCTCAGTTTACCATATGTATAAGCAATTTAAAGTGCACATACGATTCGTCATAGACTATGTCGTGCCAGTATTATGCACAGCCTTGCTCCTGTACCAGGTATGTTGAGCCACTATGGGCTCACCATAGCCCATGCTACTTGGAACTTTTTGTTCCGAGTAGCTGAATCTTAAACAACAACAACAGTGTTATGCACCAACCCTTCAAATGACATAAAAGTCAAAAGCATACAAAATGAAGCCACGAGAATAATTCTTGGATTACCAAAATAATCAAAACATTGAATCTACAAGAACCAAGTCACTCAAGCATTAAAGAGGAGGATCAAGGAAATGAATGTTCTGACTACTATTAAGATTGCTAGACCTTCTCCCAGTACAACAACATTGGCAAGAAAACAGTGTGGTCTGCACTAATTATTGGAGGAAAAAGAAAAAGCTCAAAGTGGCAAGATCGATCAAATATGTTTTCTCGAAGAACTGTATCTGCTTGAGCAAGCACCGAGTTGGCTGACAAGCCTGCAAGGATGTCACCTCCCTGAGAGTAAGTACTATATAAGATTCAAATATGTGAGCTGTCAGGTAAGAAGTCCAGCATATTACCTCAAGAAATGAGACATACATCTTGATGAAATTAATAAAGAGATAGGAAATGAACTGGATCAAAATTACACTAGTGGATCTGCTGTCCCTACTAATGACAGGGCTGGAGCAGTGTACACTGTAATCAGAAATTACGAATTCCAAAACGAAAATGAAGAAAAGCAGGCAAAGCAAGCTTTTCTTAAAGCAAAGGTTGTTATAGTTACCATATATATCAGCTTGACAAATGCCGAATTTGCCAAATTTAAACTTGTACATGGGAGCCAAGGCATGTATATGAATCTTATTACAAGAAATCTATATACTGTACTGTATATCAAAAATATATGTATATATTATATACTGTATATATATAATTATTTGAAGACACTAATACGACACTAGAATTCATATCAAGGTACAGCACAATGGTGGTAAGTCGTCTAAAAGAGATAGGAAAGACACTCATATTGGCATTATTCCTGAGGAAAGGCAGAATACCCTCATACATTCAGTATCCCAGAGAACGGGAACACCCTCACATCCCCAGTATCCCAGAAAAACTGAGGTGGCAACATTCTTGTATGCAAATTATTGCTTATCCGATGATACCAACCAGCCAGTTTGGTGTCCTTGGTCACTGGTGACTGATTGTGAGCTTTTAAACTGCAAGTCATTTGGATTTCAGCATTGTCACCATCATGAGCGTCTCCATTTTCGAGTTCCTGGGATATTTTTGCAGACACTATGAACTCCTCGGCCGCTCTTAGCGATTTCCGGATTTTGCCACGTCGTCGTTGGTACACTATGTAGACCCCAAGCACCAGGGCTGTTTAAAATATATTACAAATATCAGTCAAGGTCAATCAAATTGTTATTGATGCACAGTATGGAACATCAATACAAGGTAATGGGTTATATAACATTTTTCGTATTGATTTACATTCTTATAGAACCACTATAACTCCATGTTATGGTAGTTGCTCACAAAATACTGCCCATTAAGAATTAAGAAAACTTTTAAGTTAAAAGTCACTAAAGTCAAACTTAAAATTTCTTAAGCCTAGTGGCTGAGGCACACAAAGGGAGAATTTGCAGTAATTTGGAATATAAATTCAATTAATATTTACCAATGTATATAAGATAGTGAATAAGGTTACGTACCGACAATGTGCAGATCTAGAAGTTAACATGTCTACAGTAGATTTTACATTTTAAAAATAGTGGATATACTATGCATATTAAATTACTAGAATTTATAGCACTCAGCTTGGATATACTTGTTAATATTGTATGTTTATTGAGAATAATGGATCAAAAACCATAAAAATGTTAATAACTGGACATACGTCGTCATGACAAAGAATTGTCATGGTTTCCCATTGCTGATGGCAGGAAGCCTGTTATTGGCTCACCAAGGTGACCCTTAGGTCAACAGCTGACCTTTCCCAGGATACAATCCACAACAGTTAGCTAACTCCTGGGTACTTGTGTACTGCTAGGTGAACAGAGGAATCAGGAGTAATGAAACGTGCACGAGTATAGTGTCCTGCCTTGGAATCAAAACCTGGACCTTCCGAGTGTAAAGCAAAGCTGAACACTGCTTCAGCTCATGGACGTACTGTTAATGTGATCATGGTAATATTTAGCCCAACCATTATCAAAAATTGTGTAGTAGAAGAAAACACTCGGCAATTTATCTCTTATTTTTTCTTGGAGGATATGAGTCCTCGATCTTACCAGGGGTGGTACCCCCCCTATATCTGTCAACTCAATTCCCCCCCATCTCCCCCTCACACACTCAGACTACAGAGGTATTACTCCCTGGCTGCTGATGATTATGCCAAGCTTCTAGGTGAAAAAAAGAAACTTAGAAGACTCTCATGCCCTTCAAGATGACCATGACATAATAAGTGTATGGAGCTACACTTGGCAAATGAAACTCGGATATGAATAAATTCCACGTTATGGGTTGTGGACAATGAGAAAATAGGCCCCACACAATTTACAAATTATGGCATTAAACAACTCTGACAAAGAAAGATCTAAGAGTGATTTTGAATAGTAGACTCACCAGAGGAACTCAAAGAACATTGTGTGAGGAGCATATGATGCGCATTCAAGCTTCAGAATCAATTTTAAATGCATGGATGGTGAAATTTTAAAGAAATTGTTCACGACTTTCGTGAGACCTAAATTGGAATATGCAGCAGTGAATGGTGCCCATATTTCAAGAAGCATATCAATAAACTAGAAAAAGTGTAGAGATGCAACTAAATGGCTTCTGGAACTGAAAAACAAGAGTTATGAGGAGAGGCAAGAGGTGTTTAATATGCCAAACCTAGAAGATAAGAGGGGAAAATAAATGGTGAAATTATCACTACATACAAAATAGGAACAGGAATCGACAAAGCTGAAAAGAATTCTTGAAACCTGCAACTTCAAGGACAAGAGTGCATATAGATTCAAGTTATAGAAAGAAAGGTGCCAATAAAAATATAAGTTATCTTTTGCAAACAGTGGTAGATGGTTGGAACAAGTTAATTGAGGGGGGGGTGGTGGAGGCCAAAACCGGCAGTAGTTTCAAAGCGTTATATTACAAAGGGGACTGGGAAGACAGGACATCACAAGCGAAGCTCTCATCTTGTAACTACCTGGATTGTATCTGGATGGGGGTTCTGTGAGTTCTTCTACTCCCCAAGTCTAGCCCGGGGCCATGCTTGACTTGAGAGCTTGGTCCAACAGGCTGTTGCTTGGAGCAGCCTGCAGGCTCTCACATCCACCACAGCCCCGTTGGTTAGACACTTAGAAAATTATCCAGTTTTCTCTTGACAACTACACTTAGGTAATTACACACTCTAAATAATAAGAATTACAAGACTTGTTACACACCTAAAAATACCTACAAAAAAATTAGGTATGTAAACAAACATCAACCTGTTTAATGGGAAGGTAAACCTTCCCAATTAGGGAAATGGTTTAGGGAAGAACAATAATGCCTAATGAACCTACTGGAGTTTAGCGGCCAAAAATCGTGCAAATTTCGCCGCTAGCGGCCAAAAATCGTGCGAATTTCGCCGCTACCGGCCAAAAACCGCGCGATTTTCGCCGCTAGCGGCCAAAAACCATGCGATTTTCGCAGCTGGTGGGCAAAAATCGCGATTTTCGCCGCTACCTGCCAAAAATGGTGTAATTTTCGCCGCTAGCAGCCAAAAACCGTGCGATTTTCGCCGCTAGAGGCCAAAAATCGGGCGATTTTTGCCGCTACCGGCGAAAAATCGCGTGATTTTCGCCGCTACCGGCCAAAAATCGCGTGATTTTCGCCGCTAGCGGCCAAAAACCGTGCGATTTTCACAGCTGGCGGCCAAAAATCGCGCGATTTTCGCCGCTAGCGGCCAAAAAAGGGGCTATTTTCGCCGTTAGCGGCCAAAAATAAGGCGATTTTTGCCGCTAGCGGCCAAAAATCGTGCGAATTTCGCCGCTAGCGGCCAAAAATCGCGCGATTTTCGCCGCTAGCGGCCAGTAACTATGCGATTTTTGCAGCTGGCGAGCAAAAATAGCGCAATTTTCGCGGCTACCGGCCAAAAACCGCGCGATTTTCGCCGCTAGCGGCCAAAAACCATGCGATTTTCGCAGCTGGCGGCCAAAAATCGCGATTTTCGCCGCTACCGGCCAAAAATAGTGCGATTTTCGCCGCTAGCGGCCAAAAACCGTGCGATTTTCGCCACTAGCGGCCAAAAATAGGGCGATTTTTGCCGCTAACGGCCGAAAACCGTGCTATTTTCGACGCTAGCTGCCAGAAACCATGCGATTTTTGCAGCTGGCGGGCAAAAATCGCACGAATTTCGCCGCTACTTGCCAAAAATCGACCGATTTTCGCCGCTAGCGGCCAAAAATCGTGCAAATTTCGCCACTAGCAGCCAAAAATCGTGCAAATTTCGCCACTAGCGGCCAAAAATCGCGCGATTTTTGTCGCTAGCGGCCAGTAACTATGCGATTTTTGCAGCTGGCGGGCAAAAATAGAGCGATTTTCGCCGCTACCGGCCAAAAACCGCGCGATTTTCCCGGCTAGCGGCCAGAAACTATGCGATTTTCGCAGCTGGCGGGCAAAAATCGCGATTTTCGCCGCTACCGGCCAAAAATAGCGCGATTTTCGCCGCTAGCGGCCAAAAACCGTGCGATTTTCGCCTCTAGCGGCCAAAAATCGGGCGATTTTTGCCGCTAACGGCCGAAAACCGCGCTATTTTCGACGCTAGCGGCCAGAAACCATGCGATTTTTGCAGCTGGCGGGCAAAAATAGCGCGAATTTTGCCGATACCTGCCAAAAACCGCGCGATTCTCGCCGCTAGCGGCCAAAAACCATGCGATTTTCGCAGCTTGCGGGCAAAAATCACGCGAATTTCGCCGCTACCTGCCAAAAACCGCGCGATTTTCGCCGCTAGCGGCCAAAAACTATGCGATTTTCGCAGCTGGCGGGCAAAAATCGCGTGATTTTCGCCGCTACCGGCCAAAAACCGCGTGATTTTCGGCGCTAGCGGCCAGTAACTATGCGATTTTTGCAGCTGACGAGCAAAAATAGCGCTATTTTCGCCGCTACCAGCCAAAAACCGCGCGATTTTCGCCGCTAGCGGCCAAAAACCATGCGATTTTCGCAGCTGGCGGGCAAAAATCACGATTTTCGCCGCTAGCGGCCAAAAACCGTGCGATTTTCGCCCCTAGCGGCCAAAAATCGGGCGATTTTTGCCGCTAACGGCCGAAAACCGTGCTATTTTCGACGCTAGCGGCCAGAAACCATGCGATTTTTGCAGCTGGCGGGCAAAAATCACACGAATTTCGCCGTTACCTGCCAAAAACCGCGCTATTTTCGACACTAGCGGCCAGAAACCATGCGATTTTTAAAGCTGGCGGGAAAAATCGCGCGAATTTCGCCGCTACCTGCCAAAAATCGACAGATTTTCGCCGCTAGCGGCCAAAAAAAGGGCTATTTTCGCTGCTAGCGGCCAAAAATGGGGCGATTTTCAACGCTAGCGGTTAAAAATCGTGCAATTTTCGCCGCTAGCGGCCAGAAACTATGCGATTTTTGTAGCTGGCGGGCAAAAATCGCGCGATTTTCGCCGCTAGCGGCCAAAAAAGGGGCTATTTTCACCGCTAGCGGCCAAAAATGGGGCGATTTTCGCCGTTAGCGGCCAAAAATCGTGCAAATTTCGCCGCTAGCGGCCAAAAATCCCGCGATTTTCGCCGCTAGCGGCTAGTAACTATGCGATTTTTGCAGCTGGCGAGCAAAAATAGCGCGATTTTCGCCGCTACCAGCCAAAAACCGCGCGATTTTCGCCGCTAGCGGCCAAAAATCGTGTGATTTTCGCCGCTATTGGCCAGAAACTATTCGATTTTTGCAGCTGGTGGGCAAAAATCGCGATTTTCGCCGCTACCGGCCAAAAATAGCGCGATTTTTGCCGCTACCGGCCAAAAACCGTGCGATTTTCGCCGCTAGCGGCCAAAAATCGGGCGATTTTCGCCGCTGGCGGCCAAAAATCGGGCGATTTTTTCCACTAACGGCCGAAAACCGCGCTATTTTCGACGGTAGCGGCCAGAAACCATGCGATTTTTGAAGCTGGCGGGCAAAAAACGCGCGAATTTCACCGCTACCTGCCAAAAATCGACCGATTTTCGCCGCTCGCGGCCAAAAAAGGGGCTATTTTCGGCCCTAGCAGCCAAAAATGGGGCGATTTTCAACGCTAGCGGCCAAAAATCGTGCAAATTTCGCCGCTAGCGGCCAAAAATCGTGTGAATTTCGCCGCTAGCGGCCAAAAATAGCGCAATTTTCGCCGC